GAGTGTGGTCCGTGGTGCTCCAAAACAATGATAATAGTAACACCAGAGATCGCTGACCACAGATCACTACAACAAATACAATAATCATGAAAAAGTTTGTGATGTTGTGAGAATTTCCAAAATGTGACACAGACATGGAGTGAGCAAATGCTGTGGGAAAAATGGCACCAGTAGACTTGCTCAACACGGGGATGCCACAAACTCTCAATCTGTACAAAAAAAACCAAAACAACAACAACAAAAAAACAGCATCTGGGAAGTTCAATAAAGCAAAGTGCAATAAATGAAATATGCACAAGATCAATACCTTCTTCAACCCATGGTCATCATCATCCTGATTGCCAGCATCTTCAAATGATTTGGAGAAAAGGACAACACAGTGGGATTTCCAACTTTGCAGGTGATAATAGAGAACCAAATAGATGGGAATAGACCATAGGAAAAGGGAAGAAAGATGACAGGCGAGTTTTGATTCAGGCAAGCACAGAATAAAACGTCAGGAGGGGCAGGGGAGACCCAGAAAGTAGGAGGAGCCAGTGGAGAGGGCACCCTCAGAGCAGAGCCCAAGGCAGCTGTTAAACCAAGTCCCTCGGGTCAGTCTGTGCCTGAAGAATGCTGGATTCAATAAATCTCATCTGGCAGGGAAATCTTGGGCTTTATTTTGAAGTGAGTCTTCCCACTTCCCACTTCCCACTGCCTCTTATCCTTTCTTTCTCTTTCGCTCCTTCTCTGATTTTCCTTATGGCTATGGCTCTAGAGTAGACAGTTGTTAGATTAGAAATATTGCCAATGAATCTCTCAAAGAGGTCATTGTATCCTAATGCTCCAATTAATTCAGGAGAGTGAGGGAGACAGGAGCCACTGGAGCCAAGAGGGGAACTGAGTGGGCCAGAGCTGAGATGGACCTAATTGAGTGGAAGAAGAAAGCAAAATGGAGTGATTGAAAGCTGAATGCCCTGTGGGCAACTCGTGTTCCATCTTTCATTCATTTGGTTCAGGCCCTACTTTTTGCCCTGAACAAATTCTTTCAGGTTTCTTTTCCAAATGGAGTTAAATAGCTGAATTAATTCCCCGAATTTTCTTTTCACGGTCTCTATATGAGGAAACAAGTCTATGTCAGATTATGTCAGATAAGCCAGAGAAAAACTTTTAGGTCTGGGGGTGGTCATGAAGCTCTTCACGTCAGAGGGTGTACTTTGAAGGGCGGTGAGGATTTGAGTAGACTGGGAGAAAAAACAAGAGTGTTTCAAGGCTATCACACCAGGGAAAGAGGCTAGAGAGGGCGGGAGCCAACTCACAGGGTCCGCGAGTAACGGGCTGACTGGTTTCTGTAGCAGAACATGAGGTAAGGCTGGAAAGTGAGGTTTGTTTATTAACAGTAGGTAAGCTTCAGGTTTAAAAATGAAGGTTTTCAATTAAAGAAAGTGCTCTTGCTGTGTGCCAGCCTTGTACCCTGAAAGAAGGTCAGGAAGAAGAAGGCAGTGAAAGAACATTTTTTGATGGAACAGAAAAAAGGAAAGAAAATAAACTCCAGCAAATATTAGAAATACACAGATCAGACTATTTCAAGGATCTGGGCCTCGCTGCTCGGGGGTAATGGGAAGAGTGAATCAAACAGAGAGAAAAGAGAGTAGAACCTAGGAAGATGGGCTTAGGAATCAGGCTGATCTGCTGAATGGCCCCTTGAAAGTCTTATTCTTTGGGCTTCATAACAGGCAAGGGCCCTCAGCTTAATGATGTCAAGGTGGTAAGGGTAGAGGAGGGGAGGGAAGAGGAAAGAATACAGAAAACACCAGATTCAGAATGCTAAACATTATTTCACATTTGGTAGATTCAGATTCCCAAGATGCCAGATCTCTAAGGCTCACTCTCTCAAATGAAGCAGCTCAGCTTTGCTCTGCTTCTCCTTCCTCACAAGGACTCTCAACACTCTGCAGTCCTCAGACTCCCACCTTCAGACCCCTTCGGGGTCCTTCCGGCAGCAAACAGACCCTGCATAGACTCAGTTTCCGGGAAACAAAATGAAAACTAAAATTGAAAGAAAAGACAGGTTCTTCCTTTCATGCTTGTTGTCTTAGTTTTATTCTCATCTCTCTTAGTTTACAGGCCAAGAAGTAGGTTAAAAAAAACACTGTTATTTGGCCATTGTCAGTACATTTATCTGATAAAGGACTTATCTAGCATATATTAAGAGCTCTTATAAATCCATGAGCCAAAGATAATTAACCTCTTTTCAGAAAAGACGTGAAAAGACAGTTTACAAAAGTGAATACAAATGGCCAGTAAGTGTATAAAAATATGCCCATCATGATTAGTAACCTAAAACCATAATGAGATATCACTTCATGCCCACCAGGATGACTAAAGAGACTGATGATACCTAATGATGGTGAGGGGAACCTTCATATATTCCCACTGGATGTAGAATTGCTGTTGGGAATGTCAAACGCGCACCTCCCATAGGACCCTAGGATCACACTCCTAGGGAACTCTCAAGAGAAATGAAAACCCGTAGCCACAGAAAGACTTGAATAAGAACTTTCACATCAGCCATACTCATAATAGCCAAACACTGAGAACAACCCAAGTGGCCATCAGCCAGAGAATGGATACGTGAACTGTGGTCTGTCTACACGATGGGACAGTACCCAGCAGCAGCAAGGCATGGACTGCTCATACACATGACAACGTGGATGAATCTTAAATGTGGCACATTGGATACAAGAAGCCAGACCTGAAAGAGTACATACTGTATGATTTCATTAGTATGAAATCCAAGAGTAGGCAAAACTACATCCGCAGTGATAGAAATCAGAAAGTGGTACCTGAGGCCTGCCAGGGGGTGGGGATGGGCAGGAATTGAAATTGGAAAGGGGCACAACCAGCATTCCCTAGGCTGATGGAAATGTTCCTATTTTGTCTTTGGTAATGGCCACATGGATGGATAAAATGAGTCAAAACTCCTAGAACTGAATGCTTAATTAAATATATGCATCTTATCATATGTAAATCGTACTTCAACTTTTTTAAATACAGGAAGGAAAAACAGATATTTAGAGGCCTCATCTAGATAGGCTTATTCATCCCATAAATTATAAATCTATTATTTCTCTTACTCTTCTCTGTTTAGCTCCTTCTCTAGTTAGAGAATGAAGTCCTTTTCAAAGATGGGATACAATAAAACCCTGTCTTACCTGTCAGCCTGCTGGTTCCCAGTTCCCCAAGGACTCCCCAGGATAAGTAGATAATAGGTTTTCCCACTGAGCTCTGTGGGTTCCTTAGTTGACCTGAAAAGATGTGGGGCAATGAGATGGGAGCCTAGGACGATAAAGATGGTATTTTTACAATTCCCCCATCTCTGCTTCCAAGATAGCAACTACCCTTTCCATGAAGAAAGGTCTTACTGTTAGACACAAATGGAGACGTGTGCCCCAGATGGCAGCCTCTTACACCAGACCGCTTGCCTTTCCCATCCTAGTCTGCACGGTCCCAGTGAGGGATGTTAAGTGTGCCATTTCCCAGCTGCCTCAAGCTGGTTTTCTTTTTCCCCCACTCCCTGTCCCCTGATTTCCCAGAATGGCAGTGCTGGTCAGCTGGGGAGGTCATGTCCCATGTCAGTGGTGTGGGGGAGACACCATAATTCAAATCACTGAGCAGGGGCTCTGGGATTTGTGCCTGGGCTGCCTGGGCCATCGTGCCACTGCTGGGGGGTGAGGCTTTCATTTCCTCTTCTCAGACAAGAAGTGATAGTCCCTGTGCTGTGGCCATCCCAGGGCTACCGAGCAGGTTTGAGCATGCGACAGTGGACCTGTAAACATATCAGAGGAGTTCTCTGACTCAAAGATTACGTGCCAGTGCTCTTTCGGCTCTGCTGGGTCCTGTTGGGGAGTGCTGCTTTTGTAAAAGAAGGGTAGAATTCAGTCTCTCTGGGCATTCACCTCTGTGAGGGTGGACCAGGGGTCACCTGAGTGAGGGTGTAGGGCAGAAACCAGTTAGCAAGTTCATGAGAGAGCAGTTTCCATTCATTACGTGCTTCCATCTTCAGTAGAATCATTACGCCTTTTGACAGTGTATAATCTGCTTGGGATTTCTAGACATCCGCAGTCTGTTGATACCTTGAGTCACCATGTCCAGGTGTCAGCCTTTGCAGAGAGCATCCTGCATGATCGAATAAGGGAACCACAAGGAGACCCTTGGGCTTGATGGACACCAGCTCTGAGTGTATAACTTCTGGCCACTCACAGGTCTTTCCAACCCTCAGTTTCTGTGTCTTGGAAAGAGGGAGGCTCCATATTTGCTTTCCGAGGTCCTCTCCAGTGATGCGATTTTTAGAGTAGCCCTTGTGGTATAGCATACAAAGCCTTTGCAGTCAGAAGAACTGAGCTCTGTCTGCAGGCGTGCACCTCACCAGCAGGGTGAGCTCTGGGCAGATTGCATCTGTCTGAGGGAAGGCCAGCTTCCTTCTCGGTAAGAGGTACCTGGAGGGGACACCTGGGTGGCGCAGTGGGTTAAAGCCTCTGCCTTTGGCTCAGGTCATGATCTCAGGGTCCTGGGATCGAGCCCCACATCGGGCTCTCTGCTCAGCGGGGAGCCTGCTTCCCCTTCTCTCTCTGCCTGTCTCTCTGCCTACCTGTGATCTCTCTCTCTCTCTGTCAAATAAATAAATAAAATCTTAAAAAAAAAAAAAAGAGGTACCTGGAGATCTCCCCACTACCTGCCTCTTCAGGTCATGGGGGTGGGGTGGTGGAACAGGATGGCATATGCAAAAACTTGATGGACTGTAACTTGCCCAGCAATTGCTGCAGTTTGTCGGCTGCGGCTATAGACACAGAAACACGTGGAGAGTGAAGTGACAGGCGTGCCCTGGAGCTTCACCTGGGTTCAGGAGTCCAACACCCGCAAAGTGGAGATGGATCCAAGGATGGGCTTGGCGACTAAGGCTTCAGTCTCGCAGTCTCTCATGGAGCTGTGAGCCGGTCCTGACAGTAATTCCCTTACAGGTGACGGCAGAGCTGGATGCCTGGAATGAGGACCTGCTCCGGCAGATGAATGACTTCAACACGGAGGATCTGACGCTGGCCGAGCAGCGGCTGCAGCGCCACACGGAGCGGAAGCTAGCCATGAACAACATGACCTTCGAGGTCATCCAGCAAGGGCAAGATCTGCACCAGTACATCATGGAGGTCCAGGCCTCAGGTGGGTGAGCTCCCCCATCCTCCTCCTCGCGACAGGGAGACAATGAAAACAAGCATGCCAGCCTGACTCCAGCCGGCACGGCCACTCTGCTCGTCCGCTTTATTCCCCCAGACACGGGGACAGAGTTGTTTGCCACTTTAAAGAAAACTGATGCGTGAGAACTGGAATCACTTGTCCGAGATTGCCCAGTTAGGCTCTGGTAGAGAGGAGGATAGGGCCAGGGTCTCCTGGTGCTGTGCAGAGAATGGGGAAAACAAATTTGCCCAGACTCAGAAAAAACGGCCTCCAGAAACAAACAGGCAGGCTCCAGAAGCAGCCAGCCTGCTGTGTGAATTGTATTCAAACCTGTAGATGTTTGCTCTTCAACCCCCCAGCCCCCTCTCCTGTCTCCACCCCCAGGGCGGCTCCTGGTCTCCAGTTCAGGCCTCTCAAAAAGCCCCCTACCTTTATTTTTTTTAAATCACTGGTCTGTGTGTGTTAGAAGTGCTGATAAAAATTTATGCAGGGTCATAGAATTTTATAACTTTCAAGAAACCATGGCGGAGTCACCCAGATTTCACTTCTTTTCATGTTCAAGCTTTGTGCAATGTCTCTCCAGCAAATGCATAAACCCTTCCTGGGACACCTAGTGCTCTCCACAATGGCCTTTGTTATTAGAACCAGAGAGAGCCATGGCAGTCCCATGATAGTTCAGATGGGTCCAGATAGTTCAGAGGACAAGAAGTCACTCACAGGAATACATGCCAGTAGAGTACTGGGACACAATCTCTACACCCCGCCCTGCCGTCGGCCTGCCCCTCCAGCCCCGGGTCCTCCTTGCCTCTGGTTCTTGACCCTCCGGGAAGAGGCAGACGGGGGTTCAAGCCATCAGCTCTTAAAAACACAGTTGGCCATGTCCCTGTTGACTCTGAAGGATATTTAGAATCATGAAGATTCCCAGCAGATGTTAGCCCCCAAACGGGACTATAGGGGACAGTGTTTGTTTTAAGGACCTGAAAGAATAAATAACAGCTCTCAAAGAGACTTCTAACTCTAACTGGAAGAAAGACAGTCTGGTAAATTCTGTTTGCCTGCTCAGCATCGTCCTTCCATGATTCTTTGTTTGTGTTGCGAACAGCTGCAGCTGCCCAGGCTTGTTTACGCAGTATAGTCCAGGAAGGACCGTTCCCACTGCAGTCTCTCGGGGTCGGGGCAGCGGGGGCACTGGGAGCTCTTTTAAAAATGGCAGTGCCAGGCCCCAAGCCCAGAGATCCTGACTTAACCACATCTGAATGGGAGTTGGGCATCAGCCGAAAAACCTCGGGCGATCCACGGTACAGCCAGTGCTGAGAACCCCAGGCAAGTTTAAAAGTCTACAGAACCTGCCAGCTCAGAATCTCTTGGGGTGGGGCGCAACAGGCTGTGTTTCTGCCAAGCCCTCCAGGGGGTGCTGGTGCACGACGAATCTAGGATCTACTCAAAGTGAGGGCCCCCGGACCAGCAGCACCAGCATCGCTTAAGAGCCTGTTAGAAAGGTGGAGGAATCCCAGCCCTCATCCCAGATTTACAAATCTGAATCTGTGTGTTAACAAAATCTCCAGGGAAATCATGTGCCCGCGAAAGTTTGAGACACATGCTTGGCAATGGCTTGTACATCTTCAGGGTTTTATTAGGGAAGGAGGGGGAACCATGATCCTTTCTCTACAGCTGAGAACCTTACTTGGACTCAGGGTTTCACGGTAGAGCTTACGCTCCTGAGACTCACAATAGCTGGCTCCCAGCTAAGGCTAGGAACCATGAGAGAATGTGCAAGACCTGGGAGAGAGGCTGGGACAGAGAGGCCTTGCAGGGGTGCTCAACCTTCATCCCTCAGTATTGATGCATCAGGCAGGAGGGGAAGCTGGTCTGCTGGAAACTGCGGCACTTTGTACCCGGGTGCTGGTGTGACCCAGGCAAGCCCCGCTCTGTCCCAAGAGCCAGGTATCCATGGTAACGGAAAGCCAACCAGGAGCTGGCAGTCCCTCAAGACGGCCTGTGACTGTGGGTTAGCAGTGCTTGGCAGCCTCCTGCACCTTGTGGGCTGAATGGGTGAAAACACCCCCAGCAGATGAGCTGCCCACACCCAGTGTCCTGATCTAGAAATGGGCTTTGTCAAAAGAGACTTGATGGGACTCTTGAGCCCTCTGTGCTGGGACTGGCTGTTCCCCTGCTTCTACCCCAGCTAGCCGGGGGTAGCTGTTCAGCTGGCATAGTCCAGGAGGCTTCGAAGGGAATGCATCTGGGGCTTTCAGGGACGCTCACTTCCTGTCTGCTGCTGAATATTGGGTCCTGCTAAGGAGGCCCCTACCTTGTCTCTGGCTCGAAGGGAGAGCAGGCTTCTGCTGGAGCTGAGGTGTGGGGTGGAGGTTGAGGGTGGGCCCAGTGGGGCAGGGTCTTGTCCCTGGGGGGTTGAGGAATGTAGGACTTCAGAGACCCCTAACTGAGGCAGCAAATGTCTTAGTCATTGATGATATGTGTCTAATAAACTATATTTGAATTCAAGGTAAAGTAAGCTGCTGTCTTAGAAAAAAGACAATCAACAAAATTAAGCTTTTGGTTGGTGTTTAGCCCTCTGTGATGAATTAATGAAGGGCTTATGCTTTGATTTGGTAGGACTAAATGAAAGTAGGGAAGTGCCACACACTTATTTTCAGGTGTGCAATTTGTGACATTGGGGCAGGTCCCACTAAATCCCTCTGGTGTGCCAGTGGCTCTAACCAAAGCAAACCCTTTGCTCAAGTCAGCACTAGCCTTAGGAACAGAAGGCAAAACAGGAACACTTGCTCCACTTGCTCATCATTCTCTCCAAGCTGTAGCATTTTCTATTTCGGCCAGGAGGTGGGAGTGGGGAGGGGCCAGGTTTTGCTGGAAAGAGTCAAATTGGAGAAGACACGCTGGCTGAAGTCAAGGTCCAGTTCCACCATCAGCTAGCAGCCTGCCTTTGGAAAGTTCCCGTTCTTTCTCCTTAGACCTTTCTTCTTCTGTCTAGTGTGGGAGGTGGGCCTGGATTCCTACAGCCCCCTCTAGTTCGTGCTTGCCATGATGAGTCAGCCTACCCACCCCCAGTGGCTAGGCCGCAGGTCTCTCCAGTGCAGTCTGACCATGTAACTATTCCATGTGGCCTGAGGAATCAGAAGAGCCGCCCATCTCGTGGATGTGTTGCTTTTGTGGTCTAATCAAAGCACCAAGCTTTCTTTATGCAAGGTTTTTAAATGAAAATCTTTGGGATCTGTGGCAATGATACTTAAAGTTTTTACTGTGTTGGGAAGAACCCAGCCCTAGCATTTGAAAATAAGTAAAAAATAAATGAAGTTTGGTATGAATCCTTCTTCTTGAGCATAGAGCTCAGAGTATGGCTGGGAGGGGAACAGTGCCTGGCTTGGGACCCAACCACACCCTCCCTGCCCAGTCTTTCCAAGCCTCACCTTCCCCTAGAAGATGGCAGTCGTAAGAATACCCAGATCACAGGGTCATCATGACGATGCAGGGCAATAATGCGTGAGCATGGTAAGGGCTCAAGAAAGCTTGGTATCTGTGATTTGTTACAATTGTATTCTAGCTCGCACTGCCTTCTCCTGCAGCCATGTGTCCTTGTAGCTTCTCCAGCAGCGTGAGGACAGGACTCTTTCTTCATTCTCTTTCCATACCCAGCATCTGGCAGAGTGCTGATGTCTGGTACATTGCATGTTTTCAGTAAGAGTATTTGCTTAGTTAATGGAGTGAACATCAATGTGGTGGAACAGATGTAGGAAAAAATAAGGGGCCACAAATAATTTCACTTGCATCATAAAAGGAGAGAAAGTGTTTTTCCAAAATGGAAGCTACTCTGGGGTTCATGGGAATGTGGATCTGATGGGAGCTGAGTGGAAGGGAAGAGAGTGTAGATGTGCAACAGGAGTTCTCGGTCTGGCTGCAGATTCAGAATCGCCTGCAGAACTTATAAGGACCAAGGTCTGGGCCCCACCCTTCAGGGTGTCTTGCTTAATTGGTCTGGAATGGACCCAGATTTTTTTTTTTTTTTTAACTTCCCAGATGATTCTGTTGTACATCCAGGCTTGAGAATGCCGATCTAAAAACCCGATTAGAGGATTTTGTCATTTCTGAACCGGGTGTTACATTGAGGGAGTGGCCCAGAATGAGGAGTGAGGAGGGGAGGGCTAGTCTCTCACTGAGGCAGGCTGATATGAAGGCACAAAGAACGCCTCCAGGTAGCATAGGCGGGAATAGCTAGATCTTACCCTAGACCATAGCCACCTCTCTCTCCTTGAGGGAGTTAAAGTGGTACCCTCAGCCTGGCAGCAGAGGAAAGTACAGTGACATTACTAGCTGTAGCCTTGAGCCATAAACAAACACAGTGCCAACCATTCTGCTGACCGAGTATAGCATAAAGAGTATCTCTGTCCCTGGGTTGCTGGCCATGGTACCACCTTACCCAGTGGTTTCCCATCTTGGTTGCATGTTGAATCACTCTGGGAACTTTAAGACTTCCTGGTGCCTGGGTCCCACCCTCAGAGAGTCTCCTGTTACTGCTCTGGGGTATGGCCAAGGACATGATGATTTTTAAAGTTCTGTAGATCTAATGTGAGCCAAGATTGAGAGCATTGGTCTAAGACCACCCAGACCACCACAGTTGCTAATGATGTACAATGAGCAAGTCCATAAATACCTCATGGTACAATTTTATATTTACATTTTTACAAGCCATTTTGCAGTTCTATTAGTAATCAATAACGAATATGTTGTAAAAAGTAGAAACATGGATATTTTGAGCCTACTAAATGCCCAGAACTGTATGTACCTAATCTCACTATGTCCTACGACACCCCAGAAACCATCGTTGGAATTGTCCTTACCCAAGCTCAGAGAAGATATAGAGCCCAGAGATTCACTGTTAATGGGGCAGAACATCAATTCAAACCTAAGTCTGTCCTTTCCCAGAGCTCGCACGTGCTTTCCACCACAGCGTGTGACCTGAGCCCTTCCCTGCAGAGGCCAGGTGTTCACCAGAAGACCTTCTCTGTTGGGTGTTATGAGCCAAGCACTGTGTTGGTGCTGAGGATACGGAGATACAGAAGGTGTGTGGCCCTGGCACCAAGGGAGCCTGCATTCCTGCGTGAACAGGGACAAGTTAATAAGGAACCACCCTGAACAGGAATGTTCTGAGGGAACGAAGCATACAGAACATTGTGGAACACATCAGTACAACTTGCCCGAAAGACACCGACACACTATCTCCCTCTTTGATGGAAAGAGCATACACATCTTGCTGGATTTCTGAGAGCCCCTAGGAAAACAGGACTGGGAATAGACTGAGAACAGTAATGTGAACACAAGCAAATTGATGGGTATTTACTAGTTAATGCGATTTGACTGGGACTTGCGTCAACGTGTGTGGGCAGTGGGAGGGAGGAGTGAATTTCCATCTTCCTAGGTGCCATTTTGGGTTCCTCCCATTCCCTCCCTCCACAGCACGACATGCAGTTGAGAGCAGAAGTGCAGTAGGCGTTGTCTTCCCCCATTTTATTTCCTGTGTTCATCCCCCATGAAACAGTACCAAGGGAGGTAGATGCATGCGAAGGCCTGGAGTCTCGGGGCAGGCTGAGAGTCGGCTGGGGGTGGTGTCCTCTGCAAGTGCTGGCCCCTTTGACAAGCTTACTGGCTTAGAGAGCCCATTTACATGCGAGGTGGCAGAGGTGAGCTGCGGGCTTCCCAGAAAAAGACACTTTGCCCAAGCTCAGCATACTAAACACCAGAGATGCCTGCGGAATGAAAAGGAGCTGGAGAAAACCTGCATTGTGGCTGAAAGCAGGGAAGAGCTTCTGCCCCCTCAGATGGAGCTTGAATTACATTTCCAGAAAAGAACTATGGTAGTCAAGGGTCTTCTCACTATTCTGGGCACTGCAGAGATAGAAATTTTTGTATTTCTTCTTATTTTTTATTTCAGTCAAGGAGATGCTCTACCTTGTCCCCTTGGTAATTGAAAATAGGAACCGGAGGGAGCTGACTGCCAAAAGAACAAGCTGTTCTCCTCTGTCTCCCACAGATATTTCAGGAGCTGGGATTTGGAATTATGAAACTGGTAGAAAAAAATAAACATGAAAAGATACTGAAATTATTACCATGTAACACCAGAAGTTTTTTCCACTCTTCCATATTGTCCTTACATAAAACACTATTTTTGCATCTAGAAATGAATTTCCCTTGCATGCGTACACTCTCCTTACACTCCCCCAGCTGTATCCGGCAGGTGTGTTGGTGGTGGTGATGAGTTTCTGATGATGTGAGTCAGAGTGTTGGGGAAGTCTCCCAGAGGGGACTTATTTTTAGGTGACTATACCCTGAGATTGGCAGGCTCCTTGGGGTGTGATCCCCATGGAAATACATTACCCTTTGGGAATTTTAGTCCCATCCCTGTTGATGGTTGGGTCCCTGTTTGTCAGTGTCAGGAGCACAGCTGCACCTGGTCATAGATGACAGGATGGGGAGTCAGGGAAATGATCCGGACTGAACTGAGAAGCTGCAGAGCCAGGTGGAGTCAGAGATCAGAAGGAGGCAAGCAATCCAGACTTAGGATTTTTGCAAAGCTATGGGTCTGGGCGAGGTTGAATCAGTCAGAACAAGAAACAATACAGCAAATTACCATTTTCATCAAGTTGGAGACAGATAGCAACCAAGAGGGCATGAACGCAAGAAGGCAGAGAGTTGAGAGCTGAAGAGTCAAGAATCAGGAAAGCCATGGGCCTATATGTACGATGTCATGTGACGGAGGCTCCATATGCATTATCTCATTTAATCCTCCCAGTGAGCTCCTGAGCAGGGAGTTCATGAGGTAGGCAGGTATGTAAAATTGTTTATTTCAGGAGGAAGGCAAAGCTTCTGACGGCTTAGATAACTTGCCCATGTCCAGGATTCTGACTCAGGGCTGGCTCCAAAGCTAGCACACTCCTCACATACCCTACAGGAGCTAAGGTAGGAGTCAAATTCAAGCCACTAGCAGACAAGAAGGCCTTTGATAACCAAGGCAGTCCCCTCACTCCGAAACACAGATATGTTTGAGAAAGGCTGCTCTAATCCTGCTGGTGACGATGGATAGATACAAGCATCAGCTCGCTGGAGAGAAAGTGTGTGTGTGTCCACACCGGTGTGTTGGGAGAGGCATATAGGACAAGTTAGGAAGGGGCGCCTGGGTGGCTCAGTCGGTTGAGCGTCTGACTCTTGGTTTTGGCTCAGGTTGTGATCTCAGGGTCATGAGGCTGAGCCCTGTGTTGGGCTCCGTGCTCAATATGGAATCTGCTGGAGATTCTCTCTCCCTCTCCCCTCCCCCTGCACGCTCGCTTGCTCTCTCTCTCTCTCTCAAATAAATAAATCAGTCTTTAAAAAAAAGAAAAAGGCAGGTAGAGAGGGGGATGGACAAAGAATGGAGCCATGGCTTCCACCTGGTGGATATTGACTTGCGGTCCCATCACAGGTCAGACAGTGGGCAGTTAATTAATGCTGGGCGACGTATCCATAAACATTGGGAGCTCCTGCCAGCGGCTGACTGGCTTATTCATTGTTTTGAAAAAGCAGAAGAATGGTGAGCAAACTCTCCTTGTGTGGGTGCACGTTTAACATGGTTTCTGTAAATGGAGAAGCACTCAGTACCCCTGCGGTATTGCTGGGGTGTGTTTATCAGCAGTGTTTGCCTGTGTTGAAGAAATGTATGAGAGCTAGCATGTATTTCTAAGAGTTGCTTTTTTTTAGGGGGCATGAGTAGTCAGTTACTAAAATCCCCCTGCCCAGAGATTCTCATCAGAACAAACTTGCCATCTGAGTATAAATTGCATCAGACCAGCTAAGTGAGTGTGCCTTTGGCAGAAGCTCCTGAGACAGGTCATTTTTGGTTTTGTTTCGTATTTCCCAATATGGTCCAGAGCCTTGCTTGTGAATATTATAGGTGTTAGCAAATCCCCCAGCAGGGACTGCCGAGGGCTTTCTTCTCTGGGGTGGACTCCCAGAGAACCACCTCTCTCCATAACCCCAGCTTATCCCAGGCAAAGGATCAGAGCATCCAAAAGAGGTGGCATGGTTTGGACACCCTGAACAAAATTCCATTCTCACATTGTCCAGCTTCCCAGAGGGATGTGTAAAGGCAGGAGGGCACTGCTCCTGGCTGTTTCTGCATTCCTGCTTTCCTGTGCATCTTGCAGGAAATAGGGTCTTGGTCCTACTACCTCGTTTCTCCTTGTTTCCTTTTTTTTTTTTTTTTTTTTTTTTAAATCAGGAATTGAGTTAATCTGTGAGAAAGACATCGATCTGGCAGCCCAGGTGCAAGAGCTACTGGAGTTCCTTCATGAGAAGCAACACGAATTGGAGCTCAACGCAGAGCAGACCCATAAGCGACTGGAACAGTGCCTCCAGCTGCGGCACCTGCAGGCCGAGGTCAAACAGGTGAGCCTGGCCCCTCCACTGTCCACCCTCGGTCTGGGCTCCCCTTGGGCCCCGGGCCTGCTCCTGGTGTGGGGAGAAGGTGTGCAGAGTCACCGGTGTCACTGTAACTTGGAAATGGGTAAGTGAAGGAGTGGTGGTTGGGATTCTGAAAGCGAGGCTGCTGTCTGTTGCATCTAAAACCAGATCTGATGGTACAAGGTGCAAACTACAAATGCGTCCTTTTTCTCTCCTAACAATCTAACGAGAGCATTTGGAGCTTTCCAAAGTTGTCCTCAGTCACTGAGCCTCTTCTCTTCCTTTCCGTCCTCCCGCCTGACACACAGTTTGTGTGAAACGCAAATCCTTGTCAAATCCATGTCAATAAACATGGTCAGGGTTTAGAGCCCCGTTGGTTAACGTGGGGCGCCTGAGTCTTCATGCAGGGCCTGACACGTAGTTGAGAGTCAGTGGGGGCAGTTTCCCCCATTCTTTTCAATATGCAGGGGCAGCTTATAAGAAAATTGTCTTGCCCTATTAAAGTCAATTTAAGAAAGAGAAGATTTTGTTATCTGTATGAGATGTTGTACTAGCCATTTTACCAAAGGACTTACCCAGGTCTCTAGGAACCTCTAGGAAAACACATGAACCAATGATGCATTTAAAAATATTACATATTTATATTATGAATAGGCTAAATTTTAATTATCAGCATAATGAATGGAGATTTTTTAAAAATTTACACAGTGGTATTGAAGAAATACAAATATATGATAGTTAAATTTATTGAGTGCTGGGAACCTTTTACACCCATCTCTCCATCAAGCCTCACAACCATTCTCTGAAGCAGGTCTTATTCCCGATTTACAGATGAGGCCACTGAAGCTTAGAGATGTCACCAGACAATGGTCACAGGGAGCAAAGAGCATGTCACCACCCTCTACTGGTCTAGGAGGGCTTCCTGGCAGGGGGGGGTTCCATAGCACTTCCGTGATAGTCCCTTCTGCTCCATACTCTTTCAAGCAATCCAGACCCCTGCTCCCTGAAGGCAGAGCCCCACCCAAAAATCCCAAGCCAAGAAACTTTTTCCTATTAAGCATTTTTTCTTAGGTACTGTGGCTATTACATGTCTTATTTAACTCTATTAATTTGGAACAGGGGACAAAAACACCATATTTTATTTAATCATTGCTCTTCTCTTATATTCCGAGTATTTCTTGTTAATGCCTCGGTCTTCGCTATTATACTGTTATTTATTATAATGGGCAAAACTGTCCTCTCTACTCCACTTCTCCCAATCAGTGCTCAGCCAGAACCCGCACCCACTGTGCTAAAGGTCTGTCCTCAGCATGGGTGAGATTACTGAGCACCGAAGCAGGCTGGATCACCGAGCTGCCATCTAGACTGCTCTCTGTGTAATTACACTGGGATCGCACCCAAATCTCTGGAGAGACATGGTGGGAATCCCATGAGCGGTGATGAGTATACGAATTCTGAGACTCTTGGTAATAAGGATTGTACTTACTTTTTTTTTTTTTTCAAAGATTTTATTTATTTATTTGTTAGAGAAAGAGAGAGAGAGCATGAGCACAGGCAGACAGAGTGGTAGGCAGAGGCAGAGGGAGAAGCAGGCTCCCCGCTGAGCAAGGAGCCCGATGTGGGACTCGATCCCAGGACGCTGGGATCATGACCTGAGCCGAAGGCAGCCGCTTAACCAACTGAGCCACCCAGGTGTCTCAGGATTGTACTTACTTTTTAGATGAGAAGTTCTTTCTCACTTATAATCTCATTTTAAGAGAAGAGACCCATGGGGAAAAGGGGCGTATGTTTATTTTATAGGTGGGAAACAGGTAGCACAGGATTGGTGCTCCCAGGCCTGCTGACTTGTTAGCTGGAATTTGAGCCTGTGCTTCCTTTATCAATAGTCACACAGGGCCTCTCCTGGGCCCCACTCCTGCCTGAGGGCTCTAGGAGAAATAGAAAGAAGCCCTCTAGCAGGGCATAGGCTGGGATATTCCTGGCCTTCACAGCACCACCTCTGAGAAGATAGCATGCCCTGTGCCTGGTAGAAAGGGTAGCCCCTACCTGATGGGTCAGAGCAGGCTCCAACAGGTCACAGGAGCCCTCCGCTGCTCATGTACTCTTACTCCTGCCTGCTGAAGCGGGCAGGAGGGATCATCTGAACAAAACAAATAAAAGGAAAATCATTCCTATTTGACTGTGAAATGAAATAGATTCTTTTGTTCCTGGTTTTTAATTTTTATATTTAATTTTGTTCCAACATTAGTAGTAAAGTCAACTCCCGAATCATGTTCTTCTTGACTGGCGTGAAAATGGAAATGATTTTTTTATCCTCTGAGTATACATTCTGTATAGGGTGAGGAGTTGGAGTGATGATAGGTAGGTTGTCAAATAGGGAAGTAGGTTGACTATGTACAAATACTCCAGGCTTGACGGAAATCTGAGTACATTCCTATGCAATGTTTCTTGAGTTGGAGGACGGAAAATTTCTCTGCAGAAGAAAGTTGCTTCTCCCCACCATGGTGAGGATGACACATGTGGGATTGTAGTTCAAACCCATACTGGGCTGCTTGAGTCAGTCTGCAGGAAACCTGCGAAGGCGTTTGTGAAGGACAGCGGCCTTGGGAGGTGCCAAGGGATTTTGCTGCTTTGTTAAGCCACCATGCCTCATTAGGTGAACTTGTTTTCCTTGTCAGTGTAGGGCTCGCTCTTTCAGGAGTCGTCTGATCCAGTTTCAGAGAAGGCATTTGTGTTTTGATGGAAGTTTGTGGAGCAGGAAATATTGATTTGGAAGCTGTTGACACTTGGAAAGAGGGAGTTAATTTAGATGTCAGTATTGATCAGCAGAGCTAAATTTAGACACAAGCTTGAGAGTTTCTTTTTTGAATATACTAAAAAAAAAAAAAAGAAAGAAAGAAAAAGGACATCTTAATTGAAATGCCATTAATGGGGATGGAAAGAGAGAGAACAATGTGCTGCTTCACAGTTGGGCATTAGAGCCCATAGACGAGAGGTTTAAATTTGACTGTAGTGTAGTTATACCACCATTATGTTAAACTGAGGCTTTGAGGGGAGATGATGCCACAGATGTCAGACTGAAAATTATTGTTGGGGTTGAGAACAAATGAAATTATTTAATTATTTAATGTTCTTTTGGGGTTACATAGGACTCTCTATCTTAGATCGATGGCCCAGACACCTCTGGAGAAATGCTGACTGTTTAAGGGAATTCACTCCCCTGATTACAGCCCATGGTCTGGGACCCTAGACCACTCAGATGCCCCCTTTCTTCTAGAAAAATAGTTCAGATCACTCCCCAGCCCCACAGAATGCTCTGACTTTTTTCCAGGAAAATTACTACTCTGGCGAAGATGACCTCACATTTATTAGATAATCCAAGAAGATGCATGAAACTAAATGAATTTCCATATGTATTCCTGCAGAACAGGGTCTTTAGCAGAAAATAAGTCAAAATGGATTTGTAAGCTAATGGGGCTCTAAGATATAGGAAAAGAAATCATACTTATTTGTCTACTAAAGACACTGACTTAAATTACCCTTGTGGGCCAAGTAAAGCCAAAATTTGCTTACGATTAAAATGAACAGTGAACACAAAGGAGGGAGTATTATCCTGTCAAGAATACTGCTCTGTTAAGTTCTCTGTGCTGTTCATAAAGGCAGAAAGGAATCGGGGTTGATCCAGGGAGAGATGACCAAAGGGATGAGCATTTGTTTCAAAACGGAGAAAATTAAGAAGACCCATGGTCACAGTCTATAAAACCAGGAAGGACGATTGCATAGACTCTCATACACTGTGAATCTTTAGAACTAAGTAGTGCTGGAAACATGCCAGGCTCCAAGATACCCTCTGAGAGACCGGCCATTTCTCCTGTGGCCAGAGTTTCAGAAAAGACTGTGCCTTGTGGTAAGTCATCAGCAACAGCAGGTCTTACAGTCAGAGGCCTTGAGGGTCTCCTCATAGCTCTATTGTCAGCATGACCTAGAGAAAACACAGCCATATACAAGCAGCTTCCCAGCCTGCCGGTTACAAGGGACAGCCCTCCTCGCTTAGATGGCGTCATCATTTGTGGACATCCATATCCAGTCTTCTCACTGGGGGTGGCCCCTGCTTCCTTGGCCTGAGGAAACAGTAGGTCCCCATTGTCAGTTCACGCATTCAGTTCAGACTGAGCTGAATTCTTAAGCAGCTCCTGAGTCCCCGAGCAGCAATCAGCAATACTCCTTGGGTCCCTCATTTTTATAGACCTGACTTTCTCTGATAGCCTGTGGTTGTAGGGCGTGTGTCTTAATTTTGGAAGAAGTGTGGAATGTGAGGATTCAAAGTGACCCTTAAAGGTCATCTTACCTATAGGTAAATTGTTGCCTAAGATAACTGATCAACATAAAATATTCATATTATGCGTTACATTTTATGGTTTGCAGAACACTTTCACATGATGTTTCTGAGACCATACAGGATTAGTAAAAACATTTTACCATTTTTATTACAATATTTCCTCTACTCCCTTGCACTCATTTGGATGCTCATAGCATAAATAACCAGTTTTATGAACCGGAAAAATAAAGGATGACAGAAATAGAAAATTATACCAACAAGAGTTGTCAGATGATCAGACAACAGAGAATGATGCTAACAAAACCACATCACATCAGAATACGGCAGTAAGCACTACAGATTCTGGAACAAAAGTCAGTAGCCCTAGCCTTTTTTCCTTCTCACTGTGAGAGGAGTAAATGAAGAATCATAGCATTACCTAGCTTTGCTCCAAAACCAAAAATCACCACCTCTACCATCACCAGCCTTTCTGTCTTACTGCATGCTGCATCTACCCTGCTGGAAGAAGGGAAGGCACTATCATCTGAACTTTGCAGATGAGAAAACTGAGGCCCAGAGGCTTAGCTAGTTTTGCCAGGTAGTAAAAAAGCCAGGTGTTTCTTCACTGTGCCCATCCTGCTGGGACAGACTCAGTTATAGGGATTAGTCCCACCCCTGAACCTAAGCCATGGTATAGAAACATGCCTTTTTACCTTCCTAAAATAAAAACTCCTGCTTTAGATGACTGGAATGCCTTTATAAACAGCATTTGGGAAATAAAAATGAACAAGCATATCAAGAATATGGCATGACTTAAAGAAAGACATAGAGACTGAAGCCTATGATATCTAAATGGAAAGCTAGTGTATGGAGATCTCCACCACCATAGCTGTAACTGATGTTTCCAGTTGGCTGAAACTAGAGAGGAACAGATGCCAGCAAGACTCAGGAAGCCCAGAGGGAGTCAAATTGCCCCTCAAATGTTGATTTGTAATGCACACAAAGTAAATGTTTCTGTGACACCCTCAAATGAATCTTGAACCAAGCAAAATGCAGTGAATCATGGCAGAAGGACTTGCATAGTTCAAAGTATACATTGTGAGCTCCATTTTCCAAAGAGCGGAAGCATTTGGGCATACCGTCCATGTATGCGTGTACCCAAACTTACAGGCAGCTTTTGGAAGTCATTAGCACCTCTAGCCAGCCAGCCCCAGCACACCACTGGCATCAGAGACTTCACACATACACTCCGAGCCGTTAGATCTGCCACTAATTGCTTTACAGATTTGGCATCTCATCCATGATCTGCCAGACTGGCCATGAATTAACATCTCAATCCGAACAGCCCAGCTTCAGCAGGAATTTCGCCCCACCGTTACCCATGTACAATATGCCATCAGTCATATTCTGCCTAAGGAGGAAATTTGAGAAATGTTTGTGAGGATTATGGAATAGGAGAGACCAGGCTTAGTATTTTTCTAATTATTTAGCATGAAGAAGTTGAGAGGAGGAAAAAAAAATCTGCAAAAATCTGAAACAGATTGTGGTATCTTCTCCTTTCCTTGAAGTAACAGATGGATGATATTTACTGATCTTGAAATTTCAGAAGAATTTTTATCTCCTCTCCAAGCAAACTCTTAGACTCCCTAATAAAGAAAATATTTAGTAATTTTCTGGTGACCAGACACAAGGTGTATTTTCAAGGCCTGATTCTTCCAGTGTGATTATTTGCACTTGACTCGAGATCTTAGCTGGAGAGTTGCCACATGCCCATTTCACCTAGGACTATCTAGACTGTTTCCGCTGTTTCTCCTTCTATTCTAATATTCCCTAGCTGAACTTTCTTTCCCCCAGTATTAATAAAGGTCATCTAGAAATTTTACTTAGCCTAGCCATTGCCTCTAGATAATTTAAATCAATTATAACTTATTCCCCTTTTTTCTAATGATCCGGTGTATGGATTATTGGTGCTGTTTTCCTTCTCCTTCCTCCTCCCTTTGGGTTGTTTATCTGTCAGAGCTCAAATGTGTCTCTTCTTAACTATCTTGTAAGGCACAGAAGGTTGGACCCACCATTCAGGTGTAATTTGGGTATTGTCTATAGATAATTGTTCCCTTTTTCAAAAACATTACTGCGTACTTAGCATTTATAAGGCACTGTGCTAGGCACTGTGTGAGATGGAAGCATGACTTATACTGCCCTAGTCTTCCAGAAGTTTACATCTGGGGGGAAGAGGTATGGTGGGATGTTGAAATGTAGGTCAAAACCACTGAACAAGGCGGTCTGTGGTGAGTCACAAAGGTGGTATGGTGTGGGGGTACTGGGTGAGGGAGAGCTGTTTCTTTTCTTTTTTTTTTTTTTTTATATTTGAGTTTATTCTTCATTTAACTTTTAAAACACTACTATAGTTGAATATTAAAACAAAAACAATAGCAAGTAGTGAGCTATGATTATAGTCCTTCACTCATTCACTACTGCACATAAAATGCCAGCAGTGTTATTCACTGGCCCCATTAAGAGGTCTGACACTGAACACCACCCCTGGGATGATGTTCATCATCCTCATATGCTTCCCCATTGTAATGGCGCCGTCTTTCCTGATTTGGATCAAAGTCCACCAGTTCTACCTGGTCCATTTCATCAGTCTCTTCTACTTCCTTCCTCTCAGGTAGGAGTTTTTCCAGCAAAGAGAGTTTATCAGGAGACAGAAAGCCATTCTCAGGAAAGTTTACCTTAAATTCGATGATGAGGCGATCCTTCTCATATGGCCTACGATAAATTGGCATGCCTTCATTTAGCACACACTTGATATCTCCATGCTTGACAATTTGACCTGGATGAGAGGTGATGACAGTGGTTCGGTTGTCCAGAGTAGATATTGGCTTTTGGAAACCGCACAGTGCTTCAACCAGCTGTATGTCCATACACATGAAAAGGTCTTCTCCTCGCCGAGTAAAAACAGCATGGTCCTTCTGATCTAAAACAATGATAATATCTCCTGGTTCCAGTCCTGGTTCTTGGTCTCCTTCACCATGGAATGTTATCTTCTGGCCATCTTTCATGCCTTTGTCAATATGAACTTCTAGAATCTTCTTCTCTCGAACTATCTTCCTTCCATTGCAGCTTTTACATCTATCTTTAGGACTGATCCGTTCCCCATGGCCCTGGCACTCCATGCACACAGACTGAATTTGCTGAACCATTCCAGGTCCTATCTGATGAATTCTTATTTGCATTCCAGTACCTCGGCAATTGGGACAACACTCAACTGCTCCTTTCTTACCACCTCGGCCTTCACATTTATCGCAAATCACATTCTTTTGCAGAGCTAGTTTTCTTGTTGCACCATTATATAAATCTTCTAAGGTTACTGAGAGCTGATGCACAACATTTTTACCTCTCCTTTCTCTCTGCATTCTTCCTCCTCCTCCAAAAAACATATCAAAGATGTCCATGGGGGAGCCAAAACCACCACCAGCTCCACCTTCTTTAATTGCCTGTTCACCTCCTTTGTCATATAATTCCCTTTTCTTTGCATCAGAGAGTACTTCATAAGCTTGAGAAATCTGTTTAAACTTCTCTCCTTCATTTGGATTCTTATCAGGGTGGTACTTCAAGGCCAGTTTCCTCTAGGCCTTTTTCAGTTCTTCTTGGGTGGCATTGGGTTTGACCCCCAAAACATCATAGTAAGTGGTTTCTTTCACCATTTTCTACAGCCGGTGAGAGGGCCGAGGCCGATGTGGGGGAGCGGGAAGGAGCGCGTTGCTGGGCGCAGCTCGGGTAGCCGCCGCTCCTCCGCGTCTCACCGAGCGTTCTGGAAAGTTCCCGGGAGAGCTGTTTCTAATGGGAGTAACTGGGTTTGGAAGATTTCAAGTGGTTGGCATCTGAACTGGGTTTTTAAAGAGAGAAAAGAATGCCAATATATGGAATTTATTTACTTAAACCATTCTACATTCTAGCAAGAACTTTAGAAATGTACATACAATACAATCAGATAATGTTTAAATTAAATGGGTAAGGAAATTGGAACAGAGAGGTAATAAGGGTGGAAAGGAATATATGTAGCTAAGAATGAGGTTGATACTTACAGTAAGTGGCTTATGGCACAAAATGCCAGGTTAGAGGGCAGAGATGAACATTTTAATTATCCAGAGCCTTCCTGTCCTCTCGCCAAGTGCAGTCAGAAGATAGCAAGGTCTGACTTAATGACCCATCAGAGAAAGCCACAGCTCTGGGGAGGTTGCAAAAGCCATTCATCTGTGTTCTTGTCCTGACTCCCCAGGTCCTGGGATGGATCCGCAATGGGGAGTCAATGCTCAATGCCAGCCTGGTCAATGCCAGCTCTTTGTCCGAAGCAGAGCAGCTGCAGCGGGAACACGAGCAGTTCCAACTAGCAATCGAGGTAACACCCAAATCTGACTCCTCTGGCCTCCCTTCCCCTTTCTGCTCTGCACCCCGGGCAGGTGGATTCCTTGTGCTGTGGACATTCCTTTAGGTAGTGAAGCCCTTACTCTTTCTAGTTAAGTGGTCCAGGAAGCCTCCCTGTTACCCAGGAACTGATGAGGAAGCAAACGCAGGAGTTCACCAACCCCAAGGGGGCCTCCTATTGAAAGATGAATGTTCACAGCACAAAAGTGCATCTTGGTTACTTATTGGCACATTTACCCATAAGGCCCCTGGTATACTGAGTACTTGGACATTGTGAACTATGCACCATGTGAGACATGTGAAGCCAGAAGGTTAGAAGTCACTTCTAGTTGAGGAGCCCTTGAGGGTAAACAACTACAAAAGCCATTAATATGTTAGCATTCCATTTTAAAACATTTGATTTCTATGTAATATATAGATTTCATTGTCAGTTTCTGCCTTTTAATGAGAACAATGAGCTTTGGAGTAGGTTGCACTAGATAGCTTGCTTCCCTGAAAATAGTTGTTCAGTACCACTGATCGAAGCCACATTTCAGGAATAAACTGAAACCAGAAGTTCACCAACTGACACTTGTTCTAAAGGCTATTTTAAAATAAAATACCTCTTCCCATAATCTAACTTTTGTCATCTTGCTTTAAATAATACCTTTAATTATCCTTTCTACTAGAACATTTTTCTTCCCAAAGAGACTTGAGCTGATTGCTTTAGAGGGGTATGGGGAAAGGAGCAGGAAATGGGACATGGGAACCATATTAAAAATAAAGTAAGTTCAGTACCAGTGGGAACAGAGAGAAACCTTCAAAGTCATTCATTACTTGTGGTTCTGTTTAAAACTCAACCCACTTTTGAATGTGTAGGAAATGTGAAGTGTTATCTTCTAAAAGAATGATTGTTAAGGAGAATTTTTCATAACAATGATAAAATTTTAACTCTTCATGCCTATGTCTTTAATACAATAATCAGTTGATTACTAGCCATTTTTAAACTATTATAGATTGATTACTAGGAACCATCTTGTATGTGTAAACATAGCATTAACATAAATGGCATGTTTCTATAAGATGCCTGCTATCTTCTAGGAAGCGTTACTAATAGTGGTTTACAAATCCCAGTGGCCGGGGATTTGAGATTTTAAAACAGACTATATATTGCACACACAGTGTGGGCAAATCATTTTCTTTCTTTGGGAGGGGGTGCAAATCATTTTCTAAGAAGGAACTCAGCAGAGGAGAGAGGCTTTATTATCATCAGCTGCCTCTGTCTCAGTTTACTGGCATACACAAATATAAAAGCATTAAGATCTATTCACCACCAAGGAAATATCTGGATTGGGGTAACAATTGAGAATCAGGCACACAGTGGTCAAAGCCCCATAGAGAGGCAGCATGAACAAAGTTTGGGCAGATAGACTGGGGGTGTGGCATGAAGCTGTGAGGGTGTGTGGCAGAGAGAAGACCACTGTTGGCCACACCCCCTCGTTTATCTCAAATGTGAAGGTAATTAACTTTCCTGTCCCATAAGCAAATGTTAGGTCAATAAAACCAAGTATCATGATGTACTAGAGCATTTCAGCGAGTGAGTGGGAATAGTGGGTGTATGCATTAGCAGTCTTAGCACCATGACCAAATCCTACCACTTGCATAAGCAGGATGTATTAATTTGTAAAAGTGCTGTTTCACCCATAGGGAATAGAAGCTTACTAAGCATGTATGTCCCTAATCACATTGGTGCAACTTGATCAAATATTCTTGGAATTGATATTGAGATCCCGTGAGGCCCCTGTTGAGTATATGTCTATGGTCTGAAGAGGAGATGGCAGAGCAGATAGGATTTCCAAAAGATCAAGGTAATGGAGGGTAGGCAGGTCTACAGCATAGCGAAAAGAATGAACTTCAAATATGCTTCTTCTCCAGCTGGCCTTGTGCTTCTCTCGAAAAGAGTTGGTTTAAACCAGGTTCTGCATCAAGGGAAAGATATGCCAGGGAAGATTTATGCAATTTGAAAGGGATCTAACTAGTCTAGTTTAACTTGGCCCATTTTGGTGGTCATTACTTACTGGAGGCCTTCCTAGAGATTGCTGATAGAGGACATAATTTAACTTCTTGGACTCTAAGAAAAAATCCTCGGTTCCATAAGGGAAAACAAAATAGCTATGGGAAGGATGACTAGATAATTTATTGTTAAAACTGAGATACTTCTAAGAGGGAAGAAGGGAATCATTAACAACTCAGCTAGAAAAATAGGCACATACTAGAACTATCGTGGGCAGACTAGGATGTCTGCTCACCCTAGCTTGGGTGGACTTTTTGGTTTAAAGGTTGCATTTATTTTTTTTTAAGATTTTATTTATTTGTTTGACAGAGAGATAGAGAGCACAAGTAGGGAGAGCAGCAGGCAGAAGGAGAGGGAGAAGCAGGCTCTCCACTGAGCAGGGAGCCCAATGCTTGATCCCAGGATGCTAGAATCATGACCTGAGCTGAAGGCAGCCGCTTAATTGACTGAACCACCCAGGCACCCCGGTTTAAAGGCTTTAGTCTCCCCAAAGAAGGTCAGAATTTTTACCTCAAGTATTCTGAGTTTTAGGAAGATAGAACCATTTAGAACAGAGAACAGCACATAGCACCCAGAAACATAGCTTTATCAACAAACCCAAATTATTTTTTGTTAGTATGCAAAATGGTTTGGCTGATGTGTCTTCAAGAACTGTGACTATCAAAGAGACAAGCTCAGTTTTGAAATCAACTTTATTTGAAATCCTCTTATGTATTTTAAACATAAGCATTATGGCAGAATAAGTAGTTAGAACTGGATAATAAATTCAATTGATTTGGTTTAATTTTCTTCCATGTACTCCTACATTAACATCATGTATTAACATCCTTGGTAATCCATGTCTTAAAGATATAACACTCAATAGGATTAGATAATAGTAGAAATAAATGCATAATAATGACTCAGGCTTATCAAAGCAAAGACTATGTCATATGCATAAAAGTTTGTCATTTGGAAATTAAAGGGGATGGAGTTCCAAGGACTATCAGATGAAAATGAGTTTCAGAATAAGGAAGAGGATTTATTACATAGTCTAAATTATAGGACAATTAGAGTTGGTCCTTCACTCCCAGAGAAAAAGACATAATCATGGGGTTTTGATGACAATTATATGCTGGTTTCATATACTGAGGAGAAGCCAGTTAATTATCATAATCACTAATGTTCATTTGGTGAACCCTTCCTCTGTGGGAAGCTCTGCAGATACCATTCTAACTCTGGAGATTAAATAATGTGGTGTGATAGGGTGGAAATGAGCACAGGAATAGTCAAAACTGAATCTTATCCCTAGTATCATCACCCCCTTGGTTGTATGTTTGGGGGTAGGTCACTCAGGCAGCCTCAGCCTCAGGTTTGTAACTTATGAAGTGGGAATAATAACATCCACCTTGTCGTGGTGTTGTAAGAACTCAAAAAAAAAAATATGCATAAGCACAAGGCCAGGTAACCTTGGATAAATGATAGTTATTAAAGTGATGTTTAAAGTCATGTTTGCCTTGAGAATCAGCCAAATATATTAAATGAGTCATACAGGAGTGCAGGAAAGAGTAGTTTTTAGTGAGTCTCCAGCTGTCCAAAAGGATTTTTTTTGTATAACATTTAAAAAATTGTTAATTCCACTGTAGTTAACATACAGTGCCATATTAGTGGCAGTTATGTGATACAGTGAGGCAGCAATTCTCTGCGTTACTCAGTGTTCATCATGATAGGTGTACTCTTTAATCTTCTCTTAAAGGAGACCAGACTTGAGGTGAGTCTCAAAGGACAACTGGAACATAGATGGGGAGAGAGGAAGGGGTGTTCACTAAAAGACAGGAAGAATGAAGGCAGCAAAAATAAGCTCACTCTGGTGAGCGCTGTGAATTGTGTAAGACTGATGAATCACAGACCTGTACCCCTGAAACAAATAATACAGTATATGTTAATAAAAACAAAACAAAACAAAAAGACCTGCTCTAACAATTCTCAGGGTTGATGTGAATCTAATTAGACAATAGATATTAAAGTACTCCTCTAAGTAAAAATTAAAAAAAAATAAGCCAGGGTGTGTTTGCAGAGGGTTTTTTTTAAGGAAGTAGTAGATGATAATGTTATGGAAGTCGTTCAAGACTACATTGGGAGGAGATTTTAAGGACATCCTTCAAAGTTTGGACTTAATTTTATAGCAGTGGAAGAATGACTGAAGGCTTTTGAATTGAGAGAAGGGAATGATGTTTAAGCACAAAATTAGAGTTTTGGAGCCAGAAGAAAGTTAGGGGTCACTTCACCCAAGCACTTCCTATTACGGAGAACCAACTGATGTGTTGGAAATGTAAGGGATGGGTTTGATGGATTCGAAGTGGAAGGCAAGGAGGCTAGCTCTGGGACTACCATGGAAGTCCAGGTATGCAGTGGGTTGGACTGGGACTTGGGGTGAGGAATAGCAGTCCAGAATGATGTCCAGATTATAAACCCAGGTGACAACAAGAAGGGCACCATCAACACCAATGGTAGACTGCCATGGGAAGATACTTCCAGAGGGAGGGATTTCATTTTAATGTGGAATTTGAGAAGATGTCTGGGAGGAAGCGGGATGCTCTAGTTGAGTGGGCAAGCCATTTGCATTCACTGACGAGCCTTCCTCCTCTCTCCAGGAAGACCTGTCACTTCTTTTACTAAGAACGCATCTTTGTAAGTGGCTAACGTGGGGCAGGCAGCTAGAGCAATTGAATCAGTACTGCTGGCTTGGAGTGAGAAATATGGTGGGCAGCTCACCCTCACCCCCAAAGACAGTTAAAGATGAGGGTCCCATGTAGCGTGAGAGATGAATACTGGGCGACATCTACATAAAGGAAGTAATAGCAGCCATGGGTATAGATAAGAGTTCCACAGAAGTGAACAAAAACCAAGAATGCACCTTGGGGTACCCCTCTATTTAAGAGACAGGAGAAGAAAATGGTGCCAATAAGTAAAACAGACAAAGAAATCAGGAATTTGTGGAGGATCACTCTGACCTGAAAAGTAAACCTGAGTTTACTTTTTTTTTTTTTATTTTAAAGTTTACTTTTTCTAACCATGTTCAACATTTAGGAACTCAAATTCTGATCTGATCATCACTATCGAGGGCTGACTTAGTGGAGAAACAAGGGAGTAAAGGAGTCTAGGTTGCTAGAGGCAGTCACGCTATCATAACGAACACTGAGTACAGATTCCAGAGACAGGGAAGGGAAGCCAGGAGATAGGTGACAGATGGGGTGGGGTGGGGTGTTTATAAACAGGACTGTGCAGACTGCAGTCTAGGATGGGGGTGAAGGGAACTGGGTGGTGTAGGGGTGAAAGGGAGGGAAATTGCACTCACGCAGGGAGTGCCAAATGGATCAGCTCTTGGGAACTATCCCAGCACTGCTGCCAGAGAAGAAGGACAGAAGTAATTCTAGAGTAAATTACTGGGCCACTAGCTGTCCCTTTTCACCAGGAGCTGAGCTATACTTTCCTAAGCATGCAGAGGCCAAGTCAGCCCTGCACCATTGAGTTAAAGTGATCCTCGCAGTTGAGGTTGGTATAATATTAAGTCTTTGAAGTCCTATGTTTCAACCACATCCATACTTTATTTTAGTAAATTTTAATCCCTTTTGGCTCTCTATCTCTGCCATCCAGTCCTCCAGCCTGGTCTCCCCCTCCACCCTGCAGTTAATGGGAACTCCAAGAATGCAAACCACATTTGGCTTGAATAAGAAAATAAACCTTCCACTGTATATATCTCTATACATTATCCTAAAGGCAAACATAAGTAATGTAATAATGTAGGGATTACACATTGAGCTGAATTATGTACTATGCTGTTCTGTTCCCTTCGTGGGATAGCTAAGGAATGGTGAGATGCTACTCTTAGGCTTTATTAACCTGCCCAGTCCTTCTACTGGAATTCTTTTCAGCTAATGTTTAAAATGATTGCATTGTTGGCTGAACTTTGTATTATGTGGAGTTTTTTCTTACATTTGACCTGTGAAGTGGAGCTATAGCAGTAATCTCCTTGAAAACTCTTAACTACAGTGAACAATTTTATGATTAGATTGAAAAGAAAAATTGACTAATGTCTGAACCAATCAGGAGCAGATGTATACACAACTGCTGTTTCTCTACCACAGAAACGGAGACATCTTTAGAGCCAGTGACGCGAGAAGGAGAGTGGGGGCAGGAATTGGGGTCCTGAGCATTCGGTTAATGAAAACGCATGATGTTCTTTTTTAAAAAATATGCTTTAAAAACAATGATGTATTAATCGTCATAACAAAATGTTTGAATCCACCATTTAAAGCTCTTTAACTTTTCTGCATCTTTCCACTCACGCCTCACTCCACCCCCTCCCGTACCACGCCTGGGTCGTTCCCACGGACCTCTCTCTCCTCCCCTTGTGCCCAGTCCCTCTTTCATGCCACTTCCTTGCAGAAGACGCACCAGAGCGCCCTGCAGGTACAGCAGAAAGCTGAGGCACTGCTCCAGGCCGGCCACTATGACGCTGATGCCATACGGGAATGTGCCGAGAAAGTGGCCCTCCACTGGCAGCAGCTCATGCTGAAGATGGAAGACCGGCTAAAACTAGTCAACGCCTCTGTGGCATTTTATAAAACTTCTGAACAGGTGAGGGAAGGGCTGTGGGAGATGGGGGACTAATGTTGGTGGAAGGTTGTTTTTTTCCCCTCATATTGCTAACCTATACTATCTCCCTCAAGATGCAGCTAGTCCTCTCAGCAGCAGCCTTTTAGAATAGAATAATGGCATGAAAATAACTACAGTTAACCTCCTTATAATACTTTCCATTAAAGAAGTGAACCATGTGATTTGTTTCTTGTAAAATCTCAGCCTCATCAGATCTAAGTGTTAAAGGGGAAATTAGGTGTATGCTGAATACTAGGTTGAAGGCTGTCTCAGCCAGCTACTGCCACGATAATGCTGTGTAACGAATTACCATACAACTCAGTGACATAAAACTATGAGCATTTTGTTTTTAAGTATTTGAGTTCAGCTGATCTTGACGGAGTTTGGTAGAACCGGGCTCCAAGCTGGACGTCTGGTCTAGATCTGCTTTCATGTTTCTCAGCCTCCTGGACCAGCAGCTACTTGAGGCACATTTATGGTGAAGGGTAGGAGTGCAAGAGCCCAAAATCTGCTGTGCAACTGCACCTCAAATCTCCAAGTGTGCCACATGCTCTAACATCCTTTCGGCCAAAATGAGTCACATGGCCAAGCCAACATCAGCGAGGCAGGGAAGTCTATGCCTCCAGTGAAGGTCAGGAGAGTAGGGTGAGAATCTGCAGAGCATCATCTGGGGTGCCCCAGTCAGGCCCTATGCTTGGAAAACATACAGCTCTTTCACTCATGGGGCTCTTCATCTGATGGAGGAGACACAGCCGTCTCTCCTCCACAGGTTACGAGCCAAGCAGGTGGGATAGAGCCGCTGCAGGAGGAAAGGCAGGAGATGCACACAGCGGGATGACAAGGATTTAGATCCCTTACTTTCCCATCTGTACAGTAGTATCTACAAGGGCTAAGAGGATTTCTAACTGATTTGGGTGCTTTCAGGGAATTCTTTCATGAAATATAGGTTGAAAACAGACATAATTGTATTCCATGTAAAACATGTTCCTCATTGGAATTGCTCCCTGGTAGAAATAGATCAGAGAAACATTCTCCTCTGGGTGACTTACAGGGGCCTTGGGTAAGTCTACCCGGAGTAAATATAACATGCCTGTCTGAGGGCCCTGTGGCCAGTGTTCCAGCCTCCACACCTTCTCTCTGTTCTCAACTGATGGTGCCTTGATGGCCCCAGAGTTGGGAGTAGCAGACTAAGGCAATTTATCAATTCAACAGAATCCCAATCAAACCCCAGCAAACTTTTTGATAAAAATTGATACGCTGCTTATAAGATATATATGGAAATACAAAGAACCAAGAATAGCCAAACAATCTTGAAAAGAAAAAGGAAAGTTGGAGTTACACTACCTGATTTTAAGACTTATTCTATAGGTACAATGATCAAGACAGAATGATGTTGTTGTAAGAATAGACACAAGGAGGGGCACCTGGGTGGCTCAGTGGGTTAAAGCCTCTGCCTTCAGCTCAGGTCATGATCCCAGGGTCATGGGATCGAGCCCCACATCGGGGTCTCTGCTCAGCTGGGAGCCTGCTTCCCTTCTCTCTCTCTGCCTGCCTCTCTGCCTACTTGTGATCTCTGTCTGTCAAATAAATAAATAAAATCTTAAAAAAAAAAAAAAAAAGAATAGACACAAGGAAAAAGAATAGAGATTCTAAAAGTAGACCCACAAATATGCAGCTGATTTTTGACAGAACAATTCAAAAGCAAAGTCTTCAACAAATGATGCCCGCTAACTGAAAGCAGGCTTCCCCTGCTAACTAAAAGTAGTGTTCCTATGAAAACTTTTATAAGCTGAAATCAGATGCAAAGAAGCAATGACCATTTACTTATATGGAAAAAATTTTTAAATATTCCCACACCTAAAAAGTAACCTCTTTTAGGCTTTTCTGAAATCTTAGGGACACATCTTGCTAACAGCTACACAGAATAAATCGAGGTAAATCACAGATGGTCACAGACACAGTTTGGAGCTGTGGCAGCTGGATGCTGAGATGCTACTTCACCAGAAACTACACCTGGGGAAGGAGCTCGCGGGGTGGGGGCGGGGGAGGCACTGTCATTGCTCAGGATGTGTACTGCCTCTAGAACAGCCCCACAGCTCACTGCAGAACAAACACTGAACACTACTTTCACCTTTGGCCTTTTATCATAGGAGTGAAAACCTACCTCATATTTCTTTCAGTTAGCAAAAACAGGTACTAATGTAGGTCTTTCATAAAAGTGAAATGGAGTAATGTGAACTTGTAGAAAGCAGGGAATACTTATATCCATTTTTTTTTAAATGAGGTTAAAGCCCTTTCTAATATCACACACAAATTTTAGTTTTTGATGGGTCTAGATGCTGAAGAGGACAAAGCACTACGTTAAAGTTAGGAAATTTGACCCAGAACTGACCCAGATCTCTGTTTCTTTAGCTGCTAAATTGAAAGATTTATGTTTGATAATCTTTTCATTTCTTCTAGTTCCCAAGTTGTTTTTAGTCCAGTATCATCACGTGACCTAAGTATGCCTTTTCTTAAAGTTGTTGCTTCTCTATAATCCATTTTCTCTCAAGACTTGGGCCCTCCTACACATGTTCATACCTTCCATAAGAAGAGGTGTGTGATGCTAGAGGAGTCAGAATTCAGGGCCAGGCCTTCTCATGACATGGGGAGCACGTTGGCTACAAGGGTGTGCTGCCTGGGACATCTTTTAGCTCAATTCATCACTCAGTAAACATCCTATCCAACACCGTACTCTTCCTTAAAAGGGATGACTTTCCCAGGCAAAGGGGACCTGGGATATGTAGCTGTTCCCCACCCCTTGCCATAGCGAAGCGTTCAAAGCCTAGTGAAGGAAAGTATAGGGATATGAGTTTCTATTTTCTGCATCCTTCCCTAGGCCTTGACACAAGATTGCCCTGGGTCCCCTTCTGTTACACCCAACCTATCTTCCATCCAAGTCCCATTCAAAATGCTTTTGCTTTTAGAGTATGACCTCTTAGCACTTGGAGAACAACTCTTTTTTTAAGTTAACCCAAGTGTATTATCCTCTGAACAAAACGTCTATTTTGTAAAAGAAGGTCTGAAGATGTCACTGCCTTATGACAATACCTCTAGACATTTTGCGGGGATATTTTTGCCAAGGGAGGGGAAAGAAAACATTTCACTTATGGCCCATAAGTCCCAAAACACAAGCCATTTCCTCCTTTACTTCTGTTTAGGGCTACTTCCTGTAGGGCAAGTGTGGATGGTTGGACAAGCCTAAGCCTAGTATATTCTCTAAACTTCATTTTCCTGCTCTGCCACGTTGACAGAGCTATCATAAAGTTCCAGTGATAGAATATATAAAGAACACTTTGAACCCCCCCCCCCGCAAATTACTGGTCTTTTTTCTTCTCTTACCCTGTATACGCTCCCTAAGTGATGTTGGCCTTCAGCCAGCAACTGTCAAATGATTACAAAATCCATCTCTCAGTCCTAACCTGTCTCCTGAGTTCAGCTGTGTCCTGGACTTCCCTTCCATGTCCCAGAGGCACCGCGTGTTCTAAATCTACAGACTGAACTTCAAATGAAACTAGTCACCTGCATAGGGTTCTGTTGGCTGAAGGTGCTCAGAAAACACTCCCCTGATCTATTAATTTACTGAGACTTTCCTCCATGGTTCATTAGGTCTGTAGTGTCCTGGAGAGTTTAGAGCAAGAATACCGGAGAGACGAGGACTGGTGTGGCGGACGGGATAAACTGGGACCAGCAGCAGAGATCGACCATGTCATCCCACTCATCAGCAAACATTTGGAACAAAAGGAGGCCTTTCTTAAGGTCAGAGCACATTGTCATTGAAGATCATTGAAACACACGTTTCATCATATGGGCTTTCCATCCCCCTCTTTTTCCTCACTTCTTATCTAAAGGGAGGCATTTATAGAGAAGATATTGGCTGGTTAATTTGGAAGGTTGAAAAGTTAGGCTTCCAACATATTTCTCTCCCTACTTTCTATATAATTAGACAGTTATACACCATTACTGCAGGTGCCTGTTTGAATATCTTGGTATCTCATTGATGTTGGTAATTGAGATAACACATAGTTTCACCCAGTTATGTTTGGCTTGTGAAAATATTTTTAATTGAAACACATAGCCTTGGAAGCATCTGTTTGGCTCAGTCAGTAAAGCATGCAAACTCTTGATCTAGGGATTGTGAGTTCAAGCCCCCATATGGGTGTAGAGATAACTTAAAAGAAATAAATTTTTAAAAATTATATATATATATATATATATATATATGCTCTCACACACATGCATATATATATATGTCTAGATATAAAACAGTATTAAAATAAATGTTTTATAAATGGATGATGCAAAATCTAGGGCAAGAATTAAATAAATTTAGACACCTTATTTATTTGCCAATCTAGCAATTATCAATAACCATTAGATATAACACCATTTGTTCTGTTGCATGAAGAGAGAAATACCTCATTTTGTTTGTTTTGTTCTTATTAGAGCCCCAACTTCCCAGAGAGGAAGCGCAGTCCTGTTCTGAGCAGGCTTTCAGCTAGTGTGGAAAGTCCTAGTAAGCCTCTTTCCTCCAGCCTTTGATCATCTCTCCAACAGAGTCTTCTGTGTTAAAACTTATCTAAAGGCTCTGTTTACTCTCAAATTTCTTGCTTTCATGTTCTGCTTCCTTTCAGATTTCTGGGAGTACAAAGAGAATTTTTATACCCTGACATGTTGCCACTGCTTTTCTATAACTCTGTAATTAACGGACTTTCTTTTATTAGGGATTTTTTCTACTTGACCACCCCTTTGAGTTTCACTTTTTTCCTTTCTCTCTCTTTTTGAGATGGCTTCTCCCTACTGTCCTCCTGTCTATCAGGTGTGTGCACCCACACTCAGTCAGAATCCTTAGCAATGAGCTCTTACCAATAAGATTAAATAAAAAGTCTTCTATACAGGGTGCAAGAGATTTTAGAAGTCTTCTCTACCATAAAACAAAATTTAAAACAATGACCGAAGGAGAGCATATGAAAGACTTTTAAAAGAGGTATAAAGATATTACTTCATAAAATGACATGTTTTTTTTGAAGAATGGAAGAAGAAAATGTTCTGGCCTAACGTTTTCCGTATGTGCCTAAAATCATAGGTGAGAAATTCCCTGTGCCTGTGGGAATTAAATGCCTGATGGATGGACTATTGAGTTCCCCATTTAGGTGTGTTAGTTGATCTATGTTGGATACCTTAGCTTTGGACCACCATCCAGCTGTAAAATTCATGGACCTCACAATAGATGGACCCACCCAAAAATCTTTTACCAGAGCTCCCAGAAACCATGTTGTTAAAGCAAAATTTAAAATAATTTTTTACTATATAATTTAGAGAATCAGTTGTTAAATGTCAAAGGTATTAAAGTTCGACAGTTTCATCTAGATAATATTGGAAACTGTAGATTAAAAATTAGTGGACTAGGGTAAATAGAAGTCCCCCTTATCCATGGGGAGTATGTTCCAAGACCCCCAGCAGATGCCTGAACCTCTGAATAGTGTTGAACCCCACATATACCATGCTTTTCCCTACTCATATACACCTACGATAAAGTTTAATTTATAAACAAGGCACAGTAAGAGATGAACAGCTGATAATAGATAACTGATAGATACGTAGAACAACTATGACAATATACTGTAATAAAAGTCATGTGAATATGGTCTCTCCCTCAAAATATCTCACTGCACTGTACTCACCCCTCTTGTGATGGTGTGAGATGATACAATGCCTGCGTGGTAAGGCGAAGTGAGGGGAATGGCATAGGCAGTGTGAGGTAAGGATAGGCTACCACTGACCAGACAATGCATCAGGAGGACCACCTGCTTTGGGACTGCAGTGGATTTTGGGTAACTGACACTGCAGAGAAGAGAACTGGGGATAACGGGAGGCTTATACTGCCTCTAGACTTGTACAACAGAAAAAATTCTGCTCTGTAAAGAAATTCAGAAATTCTCTGGTCTTGAGAGGAATTATAAATACTCTGCCCATAGTCATAGATTCCAGCCCTGATGTGCTTAATGGTTCCGCCCTTTCTGGACCTGGGTCTCCTCCCCGGGCACAAGGAGAGTGTGACCTGTCCTCTCTGCCATCCACAGCTAATGGGAGTCATAAAGAGGGTAGCATAGTGGCTCTTATTCCTGTGTATAGATCCATATTTCCCAGCAATAAGATATTAGTGTTATTGAGCCAGGGCGGATTTTATGGACAAATAAGTTTTTTAAATGTGGGTGACTTCCATTTAGATATGGAATGTGTGGTTAATAGGCTTGTTTACCAAATTTGCTTTCTTGAGTCTAAATTAAACAAATGCGGGGCGCCTGGGTGGCTCAGTGGATTAAAGCCTCTGCCTTCGGCTCGAGTCATGATGCCGGGGTCCTGGGATTGAGTCGCACGTTGGGCTCTCTGCCTGGCAGGGAGCCTGCTTCCTCCTCTCTCTCTGCCTGCTTCTCTGCCTACTTGTGATCTCTGTCTGTCAAATAAATAAAAATTAAATAAATAAAAAAATAAATTAAACATATGTGGAAGTGGCTTACCCCAGTGGTCCTTTAAGAGGCATTCTGGTGGCAGAGGAAAACCAGCCTGAGACATTAGTACCTATGAAGAGAGGTAGTCAAGGGATGCCTGATTGCTGATTTTCCTCTGGGATGGAAAGGGGAGAGGCCCAGGGAGTAATTCTTTACACCACAAAAAGGGGAGCTTCCTGCTTTGGAATGGGAGTATCTGGGAACCAGAAGTGGCCTCCAGGGCTCTGCTCACCCAGAGCTCCAGAAACGTGTCCACCGGTGCCCCTCCCCCAGTGTCTCAGACCCCAGGCACCTGCGGGGGTCCTCACACCTTCATCTCTTTCAGGCCTGTACCCTGGCCCGGCGGAATGCGGAGGTGTTCCTCAAGTACATCCACAGGAACAATGTCAGCATGCCCAGCGCCGCCAGCCACACCCGGGGACCTGAGCAGCAAGTGAAAGGTCAGTGTGGGAGTGTCCAGCCACAGGCCACATCAGCAGCACAGACCAGAGGCTGTGAACCTGGTCCCTGTGCACTCTCATATTTCCTGCTACTTCTCCTTAGATAAGAGGACATTTGATGTGGGGGCAGGGGCGATGGGCAGTGTTTAAAAGGGCATCAGGACTGGGAATAGAAAGATGAAGATAAAATTTCCCTAGCACTTTTTCATTTATCTTAATCTAGAGCAGCACTTCACAGAATTTTCTGAAGGAACAAACACGGTCCATACCTACCCTGTGCATCTAGTAGGCACTAGGCACATGGACTGCTGAGCACTTGACCGATGTAGCTAAGACAATTGAAAAACTAAATGTTTCCTTCTATTAACTGTTTCTTAGTTTAAGTGTAAGTAGCCAGCTGTGGCTAACATACTGAGGAGCACAGATGAGGCTTTCTTACAGCCTGGAAACAAGACGCACACTGAGAATCGTGAAACCAAGTTCTAATCCTGGCTTTGTTACTTACTATGTGAGCTTTTAAAACTTCAAGTTTCTTACTTTAAAATGATGGGCATCTGAACTCTTCTTGCTCATCAAAATGTGGTCCCCAGTCCAGCAGCCCTGGAATCACCTGGGAGTGTGTTAAGAAACAGAACCTCAGGCCCTGCCTAGACCTACTGAAATAGAAGCTGCATTTTGGCAAGGGCTCCTGCCATTCCCAACGAGATGATTTGTGTGCACGTCAAATTTAGATAAGTACTGGTCCAGCACATCTTTAATATCTCTCTGAATTCTATAGAGTCTACAGTTACATGAAAAAATCAGTAACCTTTAATCATTGCTTGTTACATGACCACATTAAGCTTAAATTATTATCGGTGGTATCACTTATGCTGGACCATGCAGAAATTAGCCTTTGAGCAGGAGAAGAATTTAACAAATGTCATCTCAACACAGCAGAAGGCTCCCAGCCTAGAGACCAAGGCCAGGGAGGGAGCTGAAACTGGCCTGGAGTGAGGGCTGGGGCAGGCTGAGGGCTGCAGAGCTGATCTGCCTTAGGAGGGGCTTTCCTCCCTGCTCAGAGAGCTTAGGAGGATGCAAGATCAGAGGCCACTGGGAAGAATTAAATTTAGTAATAAAATTCCCTATGGAGAAGAGACAGGCAGGTTTCCTCTTCCAGAGGTGCTCCCCATTTGAGGTCCAGGGACCCTGTGGCTGGCTGGCCACCATGCATGCTACAATGCTCGTGTCCTGACTTAGCGTTGGGGTGGCGGTGGTGTGGGTGAGACCAACTGCCTTCTGGGTGAGCCCATGGCCCCCGTACCTCAGTGTGCTGCAAGCCTCGGGCTCACAGAAAGAGCAGGGTATACTGCAGCTTCATGGGGGTGAAGGTAGGTTATTGTCCTCGGGAGATCTTTCCAGAATGAAAGAAATGAAATCTGAAACTCTTTAGGATTTTTGCCTGATCAGGGTTGATTCTCTTAAGCACCCTGTAAGATTCTGCAGTCAGCAAAGCTCTGATTAGGAGACAGAAAGATTAAAGTAAATGCTGCATCTCACTTGTCTCTGCCCAAATGAGGATTCCTCCTGAGCAGGGACCTACAATTTCTCCTGTACCCACTTCTTGTCTACCCGCTACCTGGACCTAAGGCCAGTGCCACTTATTTTAAGTTTTTGTTACAGGCGCAATTATTATGGCATAAAGCCCAGTGCCATACAACTGTCAGCATTTTTTGTTCAAGTCACTATGCATTGGCTGGGGACTAGCTGTATTGGCCGGTCTCAGCAGTGCGTTTCTGCCAGCCTGGCTGGCTTAGTGCCTCACTACAGGTTGGAGTCTTGTCTGCTCCACATGTATTAATTCCGGGACCTCAGCTGAAGAAGCGATTACCCAGGAAAACTTCTTATAGTGATGAGGGCAAGGTCAAGTGCACAAGCACACTAAATTCCTGCTTGTATAATATCTATTAACAATCCCTTTGCCAGAGCAAGTCACATAGCTGAACCCTGGGGGTAGGGGGAGAGGAAGTAGGATTTATCTCTTTGGGGAGGAATTAAAAAGTTACGTAATAAAGGCATGGATATAGGGATTGGTGAATAATTGAGACCTGTAAAAGTTCTCAGCCTAAGGGAAGAGAGACAGATTCTGTCCTTAGAGAATCAAACTTCCAGGAAGATGCATGAAAAGTTCTAAGTACAAGCACTGCAAATTGGTTGTACCTTTTCTTAAAAAAAAATTTTTATTGAAATGCAATTTAGTTAACATACAATATATTACTAGTTTCAGGGATAGACTATAGTAATTCATCAGTTGCTTGTAACACCCAGGACTCATTACATCACGTGCCCCCCTTAATGCCCATCACCCAGTGACCCCATCCCCTCACCACCCTCTCCTCCAGCAACCCTCAGTTTGTTCCCTTATAGTCAAGAGTCTCTTATGGTTTCTCTCTCTCTTTTTATCTTATTTTATTATTCTTTCTCTTCCCCAGTGTTCATCTGTTTTGTTTCTTAAATTCTGCATATGAGTGAATCATATGGTATTTGTCTTTCTCCAACTGACTTATTTCACTTAGCATAATACCCTCCATCTCCATCCACATTGTTGCAAGTGGCAAGATCTCATTCTTTTTGATGGCTGAGTAATATCCCATTGTAATATCTACCAGATCTTCTTTATCCATCTGGGCTCTTTCCATAGTTCAGCTGTTGTGGACATGACTGCTGTAAACACTGGGGTGCAGGTGCCCCTTTTTGTAAAGCACAGTAGTCTGTGTTCACAGCCCCTATAACTGGGAGGACCAAGGCAGCTAGGGAACCAGGCTCTGAAGTCAAACATTCCTGAATGACCCTGGGCAATGACCTATCCTCTCTGAACCTCACTTCCTTCATCTGTAAGTAGAGGTAATAATGGTATGAGCATCACAGGGTATTGTGAGAATATGTGCCTGCCACAGAGTGAGTGCTTAATAAGTAGTAATTTTTCATATCATCATTATTATGAATTAATATGTAACAGAGTTAGCAGGAAGCCGGAGGCAGACATAATACAGACTAACGGTGAGTGCTTCCAGCATAGAGCACACTATTAAACACATAGGGAATCTGGGCACATGGCCAGCTGCTGCTGCAGTGACAAGAGGAGGGAGAGACAGAACATGGATGGACACCTGCCGTGGCCCACCGTGGGGCTATGTGCCTTGTGCATGTCCTCTCACCTGCCATCATTAGAGGTAACACGAGAATAACTCGTGATCAGATCCAATCCACAGCAACACGGAAATTTGGACCTAGAGACACGATTCTAGGAAGACACGATTCCAACACGGCCTCCCTACACTTGTGACTTAGAGGTCGTAAAATCAAGGCCGTGCTGTTCAGGTGCCATGTGCACAGCCTCCCCTACAGGACAGGGAGTGCGGCTCGTGAGCCGGGTTACCCATGCAGCTACACTGGTCCTCACGCTCTTGTTCCTCTCCCACCGTCTCACAGAACCCAAGAGTGGCTGGGATTCTTATCAAGTCCCCTTGCTATCCATAGGCTCCAGGTCCAAGTGAGTTAGTTGTTATTTTAAGAGCTGACACTTCCCAAGGTCTCTTACCATCAAGGACGGGCTTAGGTATGAAGAGAATCAGGATCCCTTTAAGTTCCCCTAGGGTCATGCTCTTTGTCCCTTCACTGATGGAGCCTCATGGCCAGGCTCTCACCTCAGTCCCTCTGATCTTGCTCCCCTCTGGGAAATGCTTTCCTGTCCTCACATTCGGGACCTGGATTAGTCCCCTTGGGAGGCTGGAAGGTCACAGGTGTCTGGCAGCTGGGGTGTGTGGTGCCAGCAGCTGGCTGGCCAGGTTTGGGGCCTTCCCGAGCCAGTGTTCATCTCCTCTGCCCTGCAGCCATCTTGAGCGAGCTCTTACAGCGGGAGAATCGTGTCCTGCACTTCTGGACCCTGAAGAAGCGGCGGTTAGATCAGTGCCAGCAATATGTCGTGTTTGAGCGCAGCGCGAAGCAGGTACGTCCATGGTTCTCCCAGCTTCTCCTCTGTTCAGGGGATGATACAGTCACCAAGATGGCCACAGGGACAGTCCAGAAGAGGGTCATGGCAGAAAGCAGAGTAGATACGGGCAGTGGTGCAGATGAAAGGAAAGAGAACGGACTGTCACTTACTGGTTATTCAGCCTTTACCAAGCACACTGCACCAGGAGCTAGGAGGAGATGCTGGGGTTAGCTGGGCCCTAACTTGTGCACGATGCTGAGCCTGGCCTAGAAGATGAAGGCCAGTAGATGAGACACTCTCCAGCTGGTAGGATGTTCTGAGTCAATGGGAGAGGGTTCAATCATAAAATCAGCTTCCAAGCTACATGCTGACCAAAATGTGCCAGCCTTTCCTGGGTCTGTCACACTGTGCCAAACAGCGTAGCAATGCATGTTTTCCTGCGGACAGCTGACTTTTAGGGGACTGGGTCGGTTGTTTCCTCCCACAGGCGCTGGACTGGATCCAAGAAACAGGTGAATATTACCTCTCAACACATACCTCTACGGGAGACACCACAGAGGAGACTCAGGAACTGCTGAAGGAATATGGGGAATTCAGGGTGCCTGCCAAGGTAGGAGGCATTCCGGAGCCCTCTCCACATCCTCCAGCTCTCCCCGGTTTGGCCAGGTTCACGCTGCAGAAGGGAGAGCAGCCTCTCTACCCCGAAGTGCTGACCACAGGGCGGGTAGGGGGGTCTCCTTTGACGCCTGAATGCCCAGAGAATCGCAGCCTCTGGATGGAGCATCGATGTGAGGGAGGCCAGCTCGTGTGCACTGTGCTTCCAAATATTCCTCTTGTGCTTCAGGTCTAGACTTGGCTGTGTTCTTTTGGACCCAGTAAGGCAGAGGGATGTATTCATGTGACATGCGCACTGCCTGTGTGCACCTCTGCACCGACCCACTTATTCTTGGTGTTTGAATGGTTTGGAAAGTCTGCTTTATAGGCTGATGACTATGGACGTGTTCACAAAGAAGATGAGGGTCTTACTTCCTGAACTGACTACTTCCATCTGGCCTCAGACCTGCAAAGGAGCCAGGCTGGGGTCTCTGGGGAGCAAAATGTGCACTGGCACACACAGCCCACACCCTCACACCCCTATTCACACTGAGGCAGGAAATGCTAGAGTCGGAGGAAATGTGTTTTCACAGCCAGGATTTGATCTGGGGACCCTTGGGTTGGAATGAAAATCTGATCTGTCTCCATTCGCTCTTTGTAGCATCCGTGGTCCTCACACTGGGCTCCCTGCCATGGGGAGCCTGTCTTGGCATCACTTCCTCACAGGGCAGATGCTCTTCCTGGATGAGAACTGCTTTTGTGGGGGGTCATGGCGGGGGGCGGGGAATGTATTAATGCCCGTCCTCCCCAGGGATCACTTTTACATGAAGGCAAATTTCCTCTAGTTTGCTGTGACAAACCTTAGCCTCGTTCATGAATGGATCCTTCAGAAAGGGTTTCTCACTTTCTGACTCCTACACTATGAATGTTTGATAGTGGGAAAACTTCCTCTGCATTCCAGTGAGCTTGGGGGCTTTTCCATTCAGTGTGGAAAGCTGTCAGTTTAGATAAGAGACTCATTTCAATACCAGCGACAGCAAACAGCACTAGGAAGGTGGCAGATACACGGAACTCTTTTCAAATCCAAATGAAAAGAGCTTTTGAATTACCTATTCTGTGTCTATCTGCCCCTCTCGAACTAGTGTCAATAATGAGTCATTAAGAAGCTGGATGGTATCAGATCCACTGGTGTTCCTACCCATATATTGTAGTAGAACTTCCTAGGACCAGAATCTTCGTAACCTAAGTGGAAATGTATTATTTAGTCCATTTAAAATTTTTCTTTCCATCTTTCCCCTCTTTTCCATTTGCGTTGTAACCACTGTAACTGGGTTCCATGCATGTGGCCTTTCCTTCCTTGCTATCCATCCTGCTCATCATTGCTGATCATCTTTAAGACACTGGGTGGGTCATTTTACCACCCGGTCCGAGAGCTTCAGTGGCTCGCCAGCACCTTCAGGTGAACAGCCTCCATCCACAATGGCACTGCCTTACCTCTCCAGCTTTAGTCTCATTATTCTTTCATGCAAATTTTATGTTCCAGAGGAATGGATGTATTTTCCTACCCTCTGAGAGATACATCCTATGTTTTCTTGCTTCTCTACCTCCTCTATACCATTTTTTCTGCCTAGAATATCATTTTCTTCCTTCTAGTTTATACTTTCCAAAAAGAGCCCACCTTTCTACTGGAGTGCCTCCCCCTCTGTGATCCTGTGGCCACGAGCCACCCTGTTCTCCAGTAATTTGTGTGATGGGGTATCTCCCATGTGAGCCAGCAAGATCCCAAAGGATAAGAGTCACACTTTATTCACTTACATGACCGAATCGTGCACTAAAGATAGGCTGCAGGTATCTGTGAACATGGGCAGTAAAGAAGTTTGAGCAGATTTCAATGACTTCCTTCCCCCAATCTATGTTTAATATGATTCTATTACTTTGGCTCTTTCTCTTCCCTCACCTGCCTAACTTAACTCTGTAATGGGGTTTCATTTTCCCCTCTGACATGTTCCAAGTCTTGGGGCTATTCATTATTAGGATATCTACAGGATAACGAATCCATTTCAAGAGCTTCTGATGAAAGGCAGTAGCCTCCTGTTCCACTCCAGCCCCACTTCCCAGAGGGAAGCCTCCTTTAACCAGCCAACTTGGATTGTAATCTTTGTAACCAATAAAGTGAATTGGAAATGGAAACCAAATTGACCTTAAACCACAGGAGAGTAAATATGGTGGCCTTCAGGACTAAGCAGGCCAATAGAGCGTATTGAGTATATTGAATTATTATACTCTGCTCCGAAGAAACACATCAACTCGAAGAAACGTGGAACATAAAAAGGTTCTTTCCACATAGCAATCCACAAGTATGAGAATAAAAATAAGATTAAGAGAATTCAGGTAGGGATAAGAGGATAACAAAATTTTTCTTACTGTGGTAGGCTGTAGAAAGTCTAGTTAGAAGAATATACGAGATATTTTCCTGTTGAGGGTTTCACAATTTTTATAAGAGGTCAAGACACATGATTGGAGGAAAGCTTAATCATCTGGACAGCTGGAAGAAATCTATTTCTTTCTTTTTTTTAACACCTTAATTTTATTTTATTTTTTCGGTGTTCCAAGATTCATTGTTTATGCACCACACCCAGTGCTCCATGCAGTACCTGCCCTCCTTAACACCCACCACCAGGCTCACCCAACCCCTCACTCCCCTCCCCTCCAAAACCCTCAGTTTATTCCTCAGAGTCCACAGTCTCTCATACTTTGTCTCCCCTTCAATTTACCCCAATTCACTTTTCCTTTCCTTCTCCTAGTGTCCTCTGTGTTATTCCTTATGCTCCACAAGTAAGTGAAGCCATATGATAACTGACTCTCTCTGCTTGACTTATTTCACTCAACATAATCTCCTCCAGCCCCATCCATGTCGATACAAAAGTTGGGTATTCCTCCTTTCTGATGGCTGAGTAATACTCCATTGTATATATGGGCCATATCTTCTTTACCCATTCATCTGTTGAAGGGCATCTTGGGTCTTTCCACAGTTTAGTGATTGTGGACATTGCTGCTGTGAACATTGGGGTACACATGGCCCTTCTTTTTACTACATCTGTATCTTTGGAGTAAATACCCAGTCGTGCAATTGCAGGGTCACAGGGTAGCTCTACTTTTAATTTTTTGAGGAATCTCCACACCGTTTTCCAAAGTGGCTGCACCAACTTGCACAGCTTTGTGCAAGAGGAAAGAATCTTTCCCCTTGTGAAAGGGGAAAGTGTTCCCCTTTCTCCACTTCCTCTCCAACACTTATTGTTTCTTATCCTGGTAATTTTGGCCATTCTAACTGGTGTAAGGTGGTATCTCAATGTGGTTTTGATTTTAATTTCCTTGATGGCTGAAGAACATTTTTTCCTGTGTCTGTTAGCCATTTGTCTTCTTTGGAGAAGTGTCTGTTCATGTCTTCTGCCCATTTTTGACATGATTACAAAACTCAACACCCAAAAAACAGATAATCTATTTCTTTCTAATAGCAAAACTTTTTCTTTTTTTTTTAGGTTCTTTGGTTTCTCAATTTTACAATCAGTTGGTTTGGGTATATTCACAGGTTGTGCAGCCATTGCCACTATCTAGTTCCAGAACATATTCATCACTCCCAAAACAAGCCCTGTAGCTATTAGCAGCCATTCCCCATTCCTTCCTCCCCTCAGGCCTGGAACCACAAGTCTATTTTCTGTCTTTGTCTATTCTGGAGATTTCATATAAACAGAATCATGGAATCATACAATATGTGGTCTTTTGTGTCTGACTCTTTTCACTTATAATATTGTCAAGGTTTATCCATGGTGTAACATGTATCAGTACTTCATTCCTTTGTATGACTGAATAATATTCTATTATAAAGACAGGCCACATTTTATTTATCCATTTGGGTTGTTTTCAGTTTGGGGCTACCATGAGCAATGTATTGCTGTGAATATTTGTAGACAAGCCTTTGTGTAAACCTATTTTTTCAGTTCTCTTAGCTATCTACCTAGGAGTGGAATGGTGGAGCCATATGGTGACTCTTCTTTAACTTTTTGAGGAGCTGCCGACCTGTTTTCTGAAGTGGCTGTGCCATTTTCCATCCCCACCAGTGGCGTGGAAGAGTTCCAACTTCTCCACGTCCTCTCCGATACTAGTTATCATTCGTCTTCTTCATAATGCCATCCTGGAGGGTATCGAGTGGTATCTTATCAGGGTTTTGATCATCCCAGTGAGGAAAGAAAAACACTTTTTTAAACTGGTCATTTTATCTCTTAAAGTGAAAGAAGCTTTGAGATAAATTGGACTTAACTCTTCTTAACAAGAGAGAATTAAGTGATAATAAAAGTGACTAGAGCCTGAGCTGAACCAAGTTAGCTAATTCAGGAATTCAGGCCATGAGGAAAGGGGACACTGGGCTTGTCAGACGGGTGGTTTGGACTGAGAAAAGGAGAATCCGGACAGTTCAGGTAAAAGGTGGACATTGCATTTCTGAGAATCAAGAGGAATATAGCTCACATGCAATAGATGTTTTTGAAAGCTTTAGTTTCTCATATATAGCAACAAACGCTCTGCCTCTGGAATGAATATGAAGATCTATCTCAAGAGCACTGTTTACCCAAATCAGGGAGCTCAATAACTTCCTATCAACAAAGAATGTGTCAGTAAATACAAGGAGTATCAGCAATGAAAGGCAAATTGGAAGATGATAATGAGATTATAAGAATAATATCAAGAAGGCTAAATCTTAAAGACCTGTGAGATGTGCAAAAGACACCAAGAGGCTTTTTATAAACTTTATTCAGCACAGGGTTCACTGATTAGGGAAAGATGGTATGATATTAACTGATCAAAGGGAGGAAGGAAGAGAAAGGGGAAGTAAAGAAAAATAGAACTACTGACCCCTTCTTTTTTACCTTTGAGTTTTCTAGCAGATTATATAGAATTCAAAATGGAAAGAGGAAAACATACATTATAGGGGACCCATGAAGCCCAAGATAAGTGAGATGTCCTTTCTAAATTTCCAGGTCCAAATGAATTATGTCCCTTAAAGACTCCCTTTTGTCTGTTAGATCACACCCTTACTTCTGACCCCACCATTCAGAGGCCTCTGCAATTTGACCCCCATTTTATCAGTCTAGATAAGTTACTCTGTTTTGGTGGCAAGATTTGAGTTTCAAACTGACTTGCGTTATGAAATGGAAAAGATACTGTATGGCTCTATGTGGAAAAGAAGAGAGAAGCAAGGGCTGAACCTCCCAGGAGTCCAAGAAAATCCAAATGACTCAGCCTGATGGGCAGAACAAAAAATGTGACATAGTCTCACCTCTGGATGTGAAAGCTATACCAAAGGCAGTTCCAGCAACTCCCCACCCTGCCCCTGTCTGGTCATCTCCTGACAGGGGATCAGGAATAGGTGATCACCGTTACTGTGATGCAGCCTGCCCTTCCCTTCTCATGGCCGCTGCCTGTATTTTCATTTCTGTCCTGCTGCCACCTACCCACCTCCCTATGCAGTTCAAATCCCCAAAAAAACCAACCTTAACTGATCCAGCACATTGCCTCTGCCCCTGTTTAGATGGAGATTTTAGGCCAGGATGCCACAGAAGTCAGTGGCTACATCTTGATGGGCTGCACCAGCGAGATAGGTTTTTACCTCTGACCTCATCAGCTGTGGCCAAGCATGTGGCAGGTTGCATGGTGCCCTCATGGTCCCTCCTTTGTAAGAAATCACTTCAGACTACAACCAGTAGGTGCTGTGGCCATGGTTGGGGTCCTGTGTATGGGTCAGAATTTTTTCCAGCATAAACCCTCAATTCTTGGTGGTCCCACTTTACTTACCTCCAAACCCAGTATTTACTCACTAATTCACTTAGTCAACATTTATGGGATGCCTTACTATTTTCTAGACTTTGGAGGCTCAAATGAATAAGATGGAACCCTTTTAGACATGCACAGTCTGATGAAGGAGACACATAAGTAGCCCATGGTGTGGCACCGTGGGGATGCTGGGAAGGGATCTCAGCTTGTGAGGAGGAGAAGAGAAGAAAGAAGGTCATTGCATAGAAAGCGAGGCCGAGGGACGTCTGGGTGGCTCAGTGGTTTAAAGCCTCTGCCTTTGGCTCAGGTCATGATCCCAGGGTGCTGGGATCGAGCCCCGAGTCAGGCTCTCTGCTTAACAGGGAGCCTGCTTCCTCCCCTCTCTCTCTCTCTCTGCCTGCCTCTCTGCCTACTTGTGATCTCTGTCTGTCAAATAAATAAATAAAATCTTTAAAAAAAGAAAGAAAGAAAGAAAGCGAGGCTGAGTAGGAACCACCCATGGCAACCGGAAGAGCATGTGAGGTTTGGCATGGCTAGTGTTTAGGGGCCGTGGAGAGCACGGCAGCTCTCCAGTAGGTGAGGCCACATAAGGAGGGCTTGTCTACACCAGCCCATTTACTGTCCATTTGCTCCCCCAGGTTCCACATATACCCGGGATACCCTTGACCACAGACCATTTTCCTTGTTGCATCCGAATTATAGGTTCCATGTTTCAGGATATGATTTCCAGTGATGGAGCTCCCAGGAGGGCTTCTGGCACCAGCTGGTTGTAAAACCTCCATTTCATGCCAAAGTCTCTTTACCAAGAGCAGAGAATACATATTTTCAAGTGTTTTACATAAAGGTTTCTTGATTACGGCTGCAAAAAAATTAATCTCTGCTTTCAATAAATAGCAAACTTATAACTTTTTTTTTCAGGGGAAAAGGAAAAAACAAAACAAAAACCCTAACTGCAGTAAGCTAGAAGTCCTTAGGCTACTAGGGATCTTAACCAATTTCCCATGATGTTTTTCTTTGCGTTATGATGGTTAAGGAGGTACTTCTTCTATCCTCAGACCCATCTTCTTTCCTTCATGACAAAGCTATTCTGGGCCCTTGTCTCCCAGCCTGGGGACCAGCTGCTGTCCTGAGATAGGGGAGGCTCAAATGTGTGAGTTTCTGGAGAGCTGGAGCCCACATGTCCCTGGCCTTGCTTGCCTTTCCAGACAGAAGCTGTCCCTCTCTGGCATTTCTTGAGGGGATCAGTCTCTCGTGGGAGGTCTGTAGATGAGCCTGGAAAGTGACGGAGGAGGATGGAGTAAAGAAAGGCTCTTCTGTCCATTCTACTGTTGCTCCAGAGATTTTCTGCCTCAGTTTCCCTCAGTTATCTAGATATTAGGATGATCCAAAACTTGAATCTCCGGGACACCTGGGTGGCTCAGTTGATCAAGCATTTGCTTGATCCCAGGATCCTGGGATCAAGTCCCACATCAGGCTCCCTGCTTAGCGGGGAGTCTGCTTCTCCCTCTGCCCCTCCTCTCACCTCTTATGCTTGCACTTGCGCTCTCTCTCCTTCAAATAAATAAATAAAATCTCAAAAAAAAAAAAAAAAACCCAACACTTGAATCTCCTCTCCTCCAATCCAAAAGGTAATAATTTTATTTCTGTGAATATCATTCAAATGCTCTTCCCTTTTTCTTAAAATTAATCAAGCTTCCCTGATCTTGGAGTTTCAAAACCCAACCTTAGGATAAAAGATGAGCAAGTGTTTACTTCTTCGCACATCTACTTTGTTTCCGTATCTTTCCCAGCGTAAGTCCCTCCTCCCCACAGGACCTTTCTTGCCCATGCCATCACACCTTCATTTTTCCCTGTTTTAAAATTCCTGCAGTGTTAACTCTACATACTTCTCATGTTGACATTCAATTTCATAATGCCCTGAGTTATTTAACCACTCTGCGTGACAATCTTGTCCCCTCTAGAGATACAGACTGGAGAAAATGAGTATCTTTTTCTCTTCTTTTGTTTACCCCCCAAGCCTGTTCCCACAGCCCTCTGCACAGTGGTGTGGACAGAGTAAGTGTTGAATAAACTCTGGGTAGAAATGGAATTAATCCAATATATATCAGAACTCCACCTTCCTTAGCCCCACAATAGATACTAGCTTCATTAACTCTTCTCTCTCTCTCTCTCTCTCTCTCTTTCTAATGGAAGCTAAAGAGAAGATCCTGGTGGTGAAAGGGACAGACCTTACTCTGAAATCTGCTCATTGGATTTCTTTAGACCCTAGCATGTGCCACCCGAGCTGTTGACAAAGCCTCCTTCAGGCCAGTGCAGTGAAGGGAGAGAACTAGGGTCCATGGTCCAGAAGCCAATAGGTGCTATTATTCACTTACAGGTGGGATGAACTTGGACGAGCCCTAAGCCTCTCTAAGCCTCGGCTTTTTTTATCTGTGGTTTGAGGAGACCCACACCACCTTCTGCCACCCACATTTTAGAGATGCTTTAAGACTCAAATGAGTCTCAGATGTGACATTAACCTATTCTGTGACCTGCTAAAGGACCGTATTAATGTACGAGATGCTTACAGTAATCATGATGGCTAACATGTATTGCTTCCTGAGCTCCTAATGTGAGCGCTATGCCCCCAGGCACTGTTCTGAGCATTCTGCATGGTCAACTCATGAAATACTCACAACAACCTATGACAGAGGATTATTATGATCCCTGTTTTGTAGATAAAAGAACAGAGGCACAGAGGATTTAGGTAATTTGTTCAAGACCTCCCAGCTAGGGGCAGAGCTGGGCTATAACCCCAGGCAGGCAGGGAGTATCTGTGGCTGCAGTGAAGGAAAGGGGGGTGGGAGTGATGGAAAGGGGGATGGGAGTGAAGGGCTGTGAGCATAAATCTAGTAACTTGAGACCATCTTTTGGGACAGCAAACAAAGGAGAAGGTGAAGCTTCTGATTCAACTGGCTGATAGCTTTGTGGAAAAAGGCCACATTCATGCCACAGAGATCAGGAAATGGGTGACCACGGTGGACAAGCATTACAGAGACTTCTCCCTGAGGATGGGAAAATACCGGTACTCTCTGGAGAAAGCACTAGGCGTCAACACGGAGGTAGGCATGGGGTTGCCCAGCTGGGACATCCTCCCTTCTCATCTCTGGGCACCGCTCCTCTCATTACCATGGAGGAAAGTGGGCTTTCCGGAACAGTCTTTCTGAGCTCTTGACCCCTAGAACACTTGCCTTGTGTGATTTTTCTAGTCGGGGGGATGGATTTTGATGAGCCATTGGCCTTCAGCCCCTCATGATTAATGCTAAATAACAGAACTGGCTGGCCGGCGCTGGGGCCCGTGGCCACAGAACAGAGTTTTTCCGTGTGTAGAGTTAACTGTTGACTTTGAGGACTAAACCCTTTACCTTGGCTTCATCAGTGCCATCTTCCACCCAATTATGTTAATCAGCAAATGTTAGGGTCCCCAAGATGTATAATAGTGTTCTTTCAGGAGTAAGGGATGCAATTGTGCAAAGGCTATTGGGCATTTCAACTGAAAAGTTTGCCAAGAATCAAGGGAACACTGACTTTCAATCTCTTCTTTGTAATAGAGGTCAGTAACCTATGAATTAAGAGCTAAATATAGGCTATCAGTTTAATCCTAGGATTTCTAATTCTTAAATCTTTAAATAGACTGATGCTCTGAAGCAGAACAGACTAGAGAGTGAACTGGTTAAACCACTAAATTGGGAGAAATAATAATACCTCCCCTAGGCTTTAAATGGTGAGTTTTTTTCCTGAAGGTTTCCATCCTGTATAAATACAAAACAGTGTTTGAAATAAGCAGGGATGGGCAAATTTAATAATCGTTCTATCATTTAGCTTTCTCTTTCCAAGGGAAGTTGCTTTTTTTAAATAAAAATACTGGCTTTTATTATTTTCCTTTGACAAATGAAAGTTTTCTTATATCTGTATGTATTTCTGTTGCACATCTATTTTAATGGTTAATAACCAATTTTAGACGTGTGTGTGTGTGTATACATTTAGATTAATCAGAACTAAAGTCATTGGGGAAATATGACACTAATTATTAAATGTGTTTATTTTTTTCCTTGCCATGGATATTAGCCGTGACCATTTTATACCTTTCTTAATTGAAAAAAAAAAATTTCATGAAGAAGAGGACCTGTAGGTGGACATTTGTGGGATTCCCTGTCTTTTCAACCTGCTCCCTTGTATCTTCCTCTCTTTTTGCCTTCTACCACCTCCCCTGACTTTGATGAGTTCCTCTCCCAAGGCATCTCCAAGGTGACCTCTGCGATCTCTCTCTGTGTAGGACAATAAGGACCTAGAGCTGGACATCATCCCAGCAAGCCTTTCAGATCGTGAGGTCAAGCTGCGGGACGCCAACCACGAAGTCAATGAAGAGAAGCGGAAGTCAGCCCGGAAGAAAGAGTATGTTTTGGGGAGCTTCTACCCACGTAGCAAGCTCCTCATGACTATGCTTGGTTTTCACTGCTACATGTTCCTTTGTATAGCTTCATGTGTCCTCCTGACCACCCACAGAGGTTGGAATAGACAGACATGATGCTTCCACCCACATTTCACACTAATCAAGAATTATAGAGCATTAGATAGTGGAAACAATGAACCATGTCCACCTTAAAAACCACTTTGTGATGGCTCTGCTTTCTTTATATTGGTGTTAGAAAGTTACACATACCCAGCGATCTTTGCAAGAGCTTTATGAGAATATTTTGAAAGATTCCTTTTGGGTAGCACTGGGAAAAAAAGTAGTATGTCCTAAAATTAAGAAGCCCAATGTAGTTGGTCTTATCAAAATAAGGTAGGAAAACAGGTCCCTTGGAGCTGGAGAAACTGAAGCTGTTCTGCAAAGTCCAGAGCTTGTGTTTTATCTGGGGAGTGTATTAGTTTATTTGGGCTGCTGTAACAAAGTATGACAAATTGGATGGCTTCAGTAACAGAAATACAATGCTTCACAGCTCTGGAGACTAGAAGTCTGAGATCAAAGTGTTGGCAGGTCTGGTCCCTCTGAGGGCTGGGAGGGAAGGATTTGTTCCAGGTCTTTCTCCTTACCTCTAGATTGCTGGCTACAGGTATACATGGCATTCTTCCTGAATATATACCTATATCCAGATTTCTCCTTTTTAATGACACCCGTCACTTTAAAATAGGGGCCTACCCTTTTCCAGTATAACCCAATCTTAACTGTTTACATTTGTAAAGGACTGTTTCTAAATAAGGTTACATTTTCAGGTACTAGGGTTTGGGACTTTAACATATGAATGGGGGACGGGGTGGCACAATTCAGCCTATAACAGGAAGGGAAATAAAGAGCCTGTACTTGGCCAAATCTTCCTGTTGCACTCTCTCTGGGACACCAAATAGCCAGAGGATGGGAAAGGACAGCTGGAAAAGAAAACAAAATGGGGTGGAGGGCAATGGAGCTGAATTATGAAGAAGACAGGTTAAACTTCAGGAAGCAGATGGAGAAAAAGGGACAAGGTAGAGGAATACCAGAAACCCAAGGCAGTGAAACAAAGACAACTTCTTAAGGCATGTCAGATTATGTCCCTTCTGATTTTCCTTCTTACCTTATTTACCAAACACCGGCAACGTGTAAGAAACTTTGCTTATATGGTCTTATTTAATCCTTGTGACAACCCAGTGTGGTCAGCTGTTTTATAAGTAAGGAGTCCAAGGCTTGGAAAGCCAGTCCTACTTCCAGTAAATGACAAAATAATAATTCAGTTTCTATTTGTCTGACTTCAAAGCTCATGCCCTTTCCACTCTTCCAATAGCATAGAATAGTAAGAGAATGGCTAATGAACTCCTGCAAAAGGGAGGGTTTTTTTGAATCACTACTTTAATATTAATGGAAAGATCATTGCTAGCACAATGGATTACCTTAAGGAAAATCCTACAAAGACAAAGGTCCGGAAAAAGATGCTGCCCATTTTCATATTTCTTGTGAAATTTCCAACAGGGGACACTTTGGGGCTAATCATTCTCAAAATTTTCATGTGAAGACCAAGATACCTATAAGTAGCGGTTTTCATTATGAGCTACCATGAAAAGCTGACATCGCCTAAGATCAATGTATAAATCTATACATTGGCTCAGTTAGATATTACTACATCACATGTCAGCTAAGAAGCACCATTTATAGAAAAAATCTGTGAAAGAAAGCAAATGAAGTCGGTACGCTACAATGAAGGCAGGCATCATCAGTGTAATAACTGCCCGGGAACATCCTGTTGTTCAGGGGCCCAAGAGGAAGGGAGCCCTCTCCTTGCAGGTGCGGAGCTCAAGCTTTCCTTTAGGGGAGACTGAAGAGCAGTCACAACATCCTTAACTTGTGCTCTGCGGTGCGGGTAATAAGCGAGCCCGCTTCGAAATTGTGTCCAAGCATACATGGTAATGTAGGCCAGAGGTCAGCAAACTGTGGCCCACAGGCCAAATCTGACCCCCCTACCTGTTTCATAGGGCAACATTGTTTTTTATATTTTTCAATGGTTGAAAAAATACCAGAAGAAAAATATTTCACAGCGTGAAAATTAGATGAAACTCCGTTGTGTCCATAAATAAAGTCTTGTTGGAACACAGCAACACTTACCTAGTTATTTATTTATTTTTACATAGAGTCCATGGCTCCTTTCACATTCAAGCAGCAAAGTGGAGTGGTTATGATAGAGACTTAAGGGCCCACGAATATTTACTGTCTAGCTCTTTACAGACGAAGTTTGCTACCCGCCAGCCTCCGTGGCGGCGTCTGGGGCATGGGCAAACCTGGCTTAACTGATGGGATTGCAGAGCATTTTGGTAAAAGTCAGCAGTTCTGTTGAACATAAATCATCATTCCAGGAGCTGTGAGCGGAAGACAGGCAGCTAAGAAATGAATATAAGTGGTACCGCGTGCTTCTGCACGCACGCAAGCACACCCGTGCAACCCAGAGCACATGTGTGTCAACACGGCATGGCACAGCGGTGGAACAGGGGCAGAAAAGGGAGAGAATGTGGAACTAGCTGAACATACCCAGGCTGGAGGGATAAAGAACAAGGGGTCAAGGTGACAGGGGCTCTGAGGAGAATACTCAGAGGCAGGGAGTTTGGAAGAAAGGAAGAGACATGTTGGTAAAGTCGAAAGGTGGGTCGTTCGGGAAAGTCATGAAAGCCGGGGGTAGGGGAGTGAAGTGTGAAGGGAGGGAGGTATTATATCTTGAACCAACGAAAAGCCCGTTTGTTTTCTTCTAGATTCATTATGGCTGAATTGCTGCAGACAGAGAAGGCTTATGTGAGGGACTTACACGAGTGCTTGGAGGTAAGTCTTGCAGTCATTAGTGCACAGCTGTATTAGAAAAATGACAGCCTTGCCAGTGTCAAGTCCTTGAGAGAAGCTCAGTTGCTCTTTGTCTTCTCCCAGAGCTTCACAAATAAAAGCCGACAGAGGAAATCTTGCTCCCAGAGTCAGTAGTAATTGCCTGGGAGCTTAAAATGCTTTTGAAAAGAAACTTTTCTCAGACTGGAGCTGGACCCAGCAAAAACTTACAGGAGACTTAAATTCTAAGTAAAAACCATGACATGGTCAATGAACTTCAGTTGAGTCTGCAAATCTGTACCCGCTGACCCCCACCCAACACACTTTTAACCACACATATTTAATAAGTAAGAGGGATGTGGAGTTTTTGCTTTGGTGAAGCTCAGGATGTGAGTTTTCCTGGCAACGGTTGAAAATAATAGAACATTTGGGTGTTCTTTCTCCCTGTTCTGGGTATCTCACCATCTCACATTCCACACTCCACATGCAAGCCTGGTCTGAGTCTTACCCCTCCAGTGTGAAGACCTGTTTACTTTGTTTGCATTTTGTAGTTCTTGCCTGTGATGAAGCTGTTGCTGTCTTACAGACCTACCTGTGGGAAATGACGAGCGGCGTGGAGGAGATCCCCGCCGGGATCCTTAATAAGGAACATGTCATCTTTGGCAACATCCAGGAGATCTACGATTTTCATAACAAGTAGGTTGATGGAGGGTTTCCCCAGAGCATACGTAGGGCCGTGAATGCCCATCATCAGGGCTTTCCAATGAGTGGGTCCAAGCTGATTGGTAAATCCTACCTGGTGAATTGTCTTAGTCAGTTGCTCAGACTTTTTTCTCACTCAACCCTCTTTCTCCACAATTGTCCAAAGTCACTTGTAGATAGTGACATCAAGTCTTCAGCAGTGTCGTCCCAGGTCTCCTTAGGGACCTAACTGGCAACACCTTCATATCCAATCGGGGTGATCACCAAGCTCCGAGGAGATAAAAGTAGCGACTCCTCAGTGAAACCATAGGAAATTCTGACATGCATCTAAGGCTCATCATTCTTCCCTGTGGGCCTTGGGTTTCAAATTCCATTTTTTTGTTTTGTTTTGTTTTCAACCTAAATACTTCCTCCATTCCTTAGCTACTTCATCATCCCCAACATCAACCAAAAAAAAAAAAAAAAAGAAAGAAAGAAAGTAAATATATAGATAGATAAGCAAAATACCTAATGGAACACATTTCTTGACAGCTTATAGGGGAGAACGTCAATCGGCCCTCTGTGTGTTGTTGAGATGAGTCGAACCATAGAGCCCTAAAGCCTCGCACTTCAGTTTGTTTGGCTCCCAATTTAAGGGTCTTTTCTACAGCAAACTACACACGTTCCATTGTTCACAGAGTCAGCCAGAGCATTGGTTGGTTAGTTATAGACCCAATTAACGCAAATAACTCAGATTTCAAAATGCAAAGACAGGGAATCTGAAGACACAGGATTAAGTGTAAAGTACTAGAGCTCTCTCGGGACCTTGTCTCAGAAAGGGGCCAAGAGGTAGAGCTTCAGTGTTGTAGGACACAGTTCAGAGAAAGTCCTGTGGTGAGGCTCGTCAAGGCATTTACTGAGATAAAACCACCAGCCCCAAGAGTTCCTGGTGAGACCCTCACCCCCTGTGTAGGGGTGAGGCAAGCCTCTAGAACAGCATTCTCCAATACAGTGTTCTGCTGTAATGGAAATGGCCCACATTTGGGCTGGTCAGTCTGATAGCCACTAGACATGCATGGCCCTTCAACACTTAAGTGACCTGTGCTTCTGAGAACTGAATATTTAATTTTATTCAATTTAATAAATTTAGATGGCAAATGGCTATCAGAGTAGACAGCCCAGCTGTAGAAAATAAGACCTCAGTGTGGACCTTTGCTAGGAATGACTGGGAGCAAGCAAAATTTTGGTACAAAATGATCCTGGGCTCTAAAAGGTCTAAATAAGACGTGGAGACCCACTCTTCTCTCATTGACCCTCTTATGTCGTCAAATGGCATCAGTTTTAAAAGAACACCAAATGTGCAGCTTCTGTGACATCTTAACCTGTCAGACTGTGAAACCAGTCATTTCTAGGAGGAAAAAAAAACCTTCCAACTTTCTGGAGTACTTAATAAAAGTTCCAGGTACTTGTTCTTCTTCTTCTTCTTCTTTTTTTTTTTTTTTTTTGTTCTGTTGTTATTAAATCACAAATTTTAGCATTCTCCATTTGGTTTGTCTGGAAATCTCCAGACGTAGAAATATTCTTTCCTCATGGCTCTTTAATAAGATCCCAGTAAAGCCATTCTTGACCACTAAGCCCCCAGTTCTGTCCTCTGAATCCTGCTCAGCATTACCCCATCTCCCCCAGAATATCTGAGAAGACATTGGACTGGTAAGCAGTAAGGCAGGGTGCTTTCACTTTTTTGATTTATGGTCTCTGGGATTTAGTCAACAAGTCTCACTTTACCCATATTCTTACCAAAATGACTAAGTATGGAAGCCTAGAGATCACAGCATACACTTCCAGGGAGCCCTGCTTTTGCCAAACCAACGTAGACCAGAAAAGAATATTCATGTAAAAATGGACCAGTTGTAACAAAGTATCTACCGCTTACTCTTGTTTCATGATACCACGCTAATAAGCCATAGTAAGCAGTGTATAATTTTTAAACAGCTGAAATAGCTACCAGTGGCAAAGTATAGTTCTCAGAAGCCCTTAAAAAAAAAAAAATCAAGCCACATGGAAGCCTACATTCTGTAGAAGAATAAATGTAATTATCAAGAACACAGCTACCCAGCCAAAGTTACCTATTTATAACATTATAAAGAAACAAGAAGAAAATAAAAACCAGCCTTTGAACAGCCAAAAGAGATATCACAAAGATAAAGTTCTTATCTTTTCACAGAAGGACCTTTCTATCCTCCCTAACAGCTACCTTACCTCTAGTTAAATTGTTTAACAGTCTTGTTAGATGGTTAGATCATTTCTAAGACCATAGTAACTTAGTAAATAAGTGTCATGAATTTGAGCAAATACTTTGATATTACCAGCATAAAGTAAAAGAAGGCAGATAAACTGAAAAAAAAAAAAAAAAGAGAGAGAGAGAGAGAAAAGGCAAAAGAACACCCAAAATCCCAGGGGTCAAGGGCTACTCAGTGTTGATGCCAATGATCCTTTATCCCAATATAGAGGCCAACACAGACCGTTATATGCTGTATGCTATCATATAGCATAATAACTGAGATTAGCAATAACCTTGAATAATTAGTATATCCTGCATTAAAAGAAAGGAATTCTGCAAAGCATGTAGAAAGCCCTCCAGCAAAAAAAAAAAAAATTAGTGTTTTAAGTTATTCACAACTTAAAGGAACATCTAAGGAAATAAAGCTGTGTATTAATAATCTATAGGATCTGAAGGCTAAGACTTTTCCATAGTATGTGCTTTCTCCTTACACCATACAAATTTTGATTAACTGGAAAAAAGCATAATACCTCTAATATCACTAATAAATAAGAGCCGAAAAGGCAATGAAGGCAACTTTGAAAATACAGCAAATGTGAACTCCCTGAAAGCTCCATGTCTTTTAAGGCCTAGCTCTGCCCCACAGTGCACTTTAAATCAGTGTTTGTTGGGTAGATAGATGGATGGATGGACGAATGGACACAGACTAAAAATAGAATGAGTTTACAGACCTGTGGTCTAGTGCCATAATTAGGTCTTCTGTTTGTGAAGGTCTCAAAATAGGGAAAACTCTTAGGTATGATTTTTTCCCCATCACTGCCAGATCCTTAACAGTTACAACATTAATAGCAAAGTAATATCCGAATGAAGGAGTTTCCTGGGGTTGGCTTCTGAGTATCAGTCTTGCTTTATGTGTGTAGTTGACACATCGTGTTACATTAGCTGCAGGTGTACAACATGCTGCTTTGATGGGCTTATATTGCTATGCTGACCACAGACATAACTACCATCTGTCACCGTGCAACACACTTACAATGTCATTGACTGTGTTTCCTATGCTGTGCCTCTCATGCCTGTGATGTCCTCATTCCACAGCTGGGGGCCTGGATCTCCCCCTTCTCTTCACCCGTTTTGCCCTTGTTCCATACCCCTCCTTCTGGCAACCATCAGTTTGTTCTCTATATTTACAGCTCTGATTCTGGTTTTTGTTGTTTATTCATTTGGCTTTTTTTTCAGATTCCACAAATGAGTAAAATCATATGGTATTTGTCTTTCTTCATCTGACTTATTTCATTTAGCATAATATCCTCTAGGTCTGTTTGTTGTTGTAAATGGCACAGTCTCGTCCTTTTTTACAGCTGTGTAATATTTCTGTCTGTGTGTGTGTGCATGCGTGTGTGTGTGTGTGTGTGTGTGTACCATATCTTCCTTATTCATCTATTGATGGACTCTTAGGTCACTTACTTATCTTGGCTTATTATTATTGTAAATAATACTGCAGTAAACATAGGGCTGCATATATATTTTCCAATTAGTGTTTTCATTTTCTTTGAGTAAAGACTCAGTGGTGGAATTATTGGGTCATGTGGTATTTCTATTTTTAATTTTTTGAGGAGCCTCCATATGATTTCCCATAGTGGCTGCACCGATTTATATTCCCACCAATAGTCCACTAGGGTTCCTTTTTCTCCAAATCCTCACCAACAATTGTTATTTCTCCTTTAAAAAAAATGATTTTATTTATATGAGATAGAGAGTGAGAGAAAGAGCATGAGTGGAGGGCAGAGGGAGTGAACAGGGAGCTCAATGCAGGCTCGATCCCAGGACCTTGGGACCATGACCTGAGTGGCAGGCAAATGCTTAACTGACTGAGCCATGCAAGTGCCCCTCCTCTTTTTTATTTTATCCATTCTGACAGGTGTAAGGTGGTATCTCATTGTGGTTTTGATTTGCATTTCCCTGATGATGAGTGATATTGAATACCTTATCATGTTGTCTTTGGCCATCTGTATGTTTTCTTTAAAAAATATTTATTCAGCTCCTCTGCCTATTTTTTTTATTGAATTGTTTGGGGGGGGTGATGTTGAGTTGTATAAATTATGTATTTTGGATACAAACTTCCCGGGAGCTTCTTAATGGGAGGACCATACGACAATCTAAACACCTGTTTGCTTTTCAGGAATAGTTATGAAGTAGTCACTTTTTAACGTGAAAACATCCAAAGGTTCTTTTTAACCCCAATTATTTGCCTCTTCACCAAGTTACTGTTAAGTGCTATCTAACAACAAACCCACTTCTCTCATTTCTAGTGCACAGCTCAGGTTGTCTTCTTATAGTCCAGAGAGTGAGGGAAGGAGGGTGGAGGGGGGGGAAGGCTGGAAGGCCAAGAGATGGAGATTGGCACTACCCGAATGACATAGTTACCTGAGTCACTAGGAAGTTATTACCTAGACCGAGGGCGTTATGGTGAATATGTTACATTTCTCAGCTAATTAGTATTGATCTTGTAAATGGTGTCACATTGAAAAATGACAACCAGGATTAGGGGACTGTGTGTGTGTGTGTGTGTGTCTGTGTGTGTGTGTGTGTGAGATCTTTCTCAAGGACCTCTGTCTGTACAGATAGTAAATGGAGAAATTATCAAGCACCAAAATTTCTATAAAGAAGAGCAATTCAACATGTAAAATTTACCACCTACAAGTGGTGGTTTTAACTGAAGTTGGAGGTTTGAGTG